TTCGTTGACCAGAAATCAGTCACCTCGAAATTTACGTTGCCTTCTCCTCCTCCTCCTCCTCTCCTCCTCCTCCTCTCTTCCTCCTCCCCCCTGATCATCTCCCACCCCTGCGCCCTCGCCATGCCCAGCCGACGGCCAACCTTTGATTCGCGCAAATCTTCGACACTACACTACCAGACTTTCCCAACAGCACCGCCTCGAAACCGTGGCCGGCCCCCGTCCTCATCGCCCCCAGCACACATCGCCAGCGGAGGCTCTGAAGATGGCGACCACCATCACGAATCGCCGTTGCCGACGCGCCAACTCATGGTGCTCGCATTCATCGCCCTTTCCGAGCAGACCGCGCTCAACTCCATCAGCCCCTACCTGCCAGAGATGACGAGGGGCTTTCCCGAGGTCAAGGAGGGTCAGACGGGCCTCTATGTCGGCCTCATCGCGTCTTCGTTCGCGCTCGCCCAATTCACAACAAACTTCTTCTGGGGCTGGCTGTCGGACAAGATTGGCAGGAAGCCCGTCATCATCATGGGCACCTTCCTGACCCTGTGCTGCTTCATCGCTTTTGGCTTCTGTCAGACCCTTTGGCAGGCAATCATGGTACAGGCGCTCATGGGCTTTGTCAATGGCAACTCGGGAGTCGTTTCCACCTGTCTGGGCGAGATTACAGATCGCAGCAATCAGTCGCGTGCCTTCACTTATCTGCCTGTTGTCTACGGTATTGGCGGCATCACGGGCCCCATCGTCGGTGGCATGCTGGTCTTCTACAAGAACCCGCTTGACACTAGCCGCCCGAACCCTTACCCTTACCTTTTACCAAACCTCTTTTCCGCCTTGGTACTCGCCATTGATCTGATCATCTGCATGATCTTCCTAGAAGAGAGCCTCGAGGAAGCGAAGAATATGCTGCCCCTGGGCACGAGGCTGAGCAATCTGTTCTCCTGGATCTGGCAGACCACAACTTCTACTCGGCCAAACCACGTACAACGCTTGCTTGGCAAGCCTTACAATGACTCTCAACGCTTCTTGTCGGGAATTGATGAAGACGAAGAAGAGGGTGCATCTGACGCGTCCGGACACTCTGCCCCTGCGCTATTCCCCGAAACCAGCGGCGACGAGCTTACACGAAAGGAGATTCTCAATCGCGATACCATTTTGCTTCTGGTCACATACTTCATATTCCAGCTGGCAAACATATCGTACAACTCTCTCTACCCAATTTTCGCTGAAGAACAGCCACCGACCGGGCGTGGCTTGAAGCCCGAGGCTGTCGGTCTGTCCTTGTCCTTCGCTGGTGCCATCACAATCTTGTTCCAGGTAGGCATTTTCGGCAAATTGCGAGGCAAGTTGGGAAATAAAGCATCCTACCGTGTGAGCTTGGCGTTCTTTGTGGCCGCGTTCGCCCTGATGCCCTGGGTAGGGTACAAGGAGAACAAGTCATACATGGGTATTGGTTCTGGGCCTGCATGGTTATGGTTTGAGCTTGGGGTTGTACTGGTCATCAAGACGATTGCGGGCGTCGGTGGCCTGACCGCTGCTCTTCTCATGGTAAGTTAAATCGCTCTGGGGCAGATGGGAGTATGCTCATTTGTATGCAGATCACCAATTCAGCACCTAACCATAACGTTCTTGGCACGCTGAATGGCCTCGCTCAGACGCTGTCTGCGGCTGGACGCGCTGCGGGGCCTTTTGTATCTGGATCGCTTTTCACCGCTGCCACCAAGATACAGCCCAAGGGAGAAGTCCTTCCTTTCGGTGTCTTTGCAGGCATCTCACTCATAGGCTTTCTCTTGAGCATCGGCATCCGTGGCGAGGGCCTAGAAGCGGAAGACTGGACCGACAGCGAGGCGGACCAGGACGAAGAGGATGAAGTTGGCGATGATACAAACGAACGGACCGGTCTCATAAGAAAGTAGGCAAAGACGAGAGACACTGAACATTCTGTATAATATGAGCATTCGTATGAGGCTTTGAATCGGAGATCAAGCGTGGCGTTGGGAGCAGCAATTATGCAACAGGGACAGTACCCTGTAAAGACTTGGTTTTCTCAATCGTTCTAGAGGGGAATTGTCAATCTAGATGACGATTTACACGTCTATCTGGTCATCAAATTTTATACAGCTAGCCTGGTGATAGAGATCTCCGCACATGGTAAATACAGCATCACGCATGAGTTTGCGGGGAGATCTCACGTAACATGACGGGCTTTACGATCATGGATCTTGATCTCGCATATGTACCTCCCCTAGGTATCGATCTAAGCCGCATCTTCTCGCTGTGACCAACTGGCTGCGCCCACACACGCACACTACCTGACCACGGCCATAAGAAACCCATCATAACTCTTCTCGCCCACAACCTGCAACACGCACCCATCCAGCCGGTCATCGCGCCCGATATTCTCCACCACCCGCCTGGCCCCCAAAACCATGCTATCCTGCGTCGACGCATCCGCCAAGTGACCGCCCCTGACCACATTATCCACAATCACGACCGCGCCAGCCTCACACATGCCCAGCGCCACATCTACATAATTCCAATTATTCTCCTTATCGGCGTCAATAAAGACGAACTGAAACTTTTCCCGCACTCCACGCTTCACCTCGTCCGCAAGCCGGGGTAGCACCTCCACGCCAGCCCCGACAACAACATCCACGCGATCCGACACGCCCGCGCGCTCGAGATTTGCGCGTGCTACCGCTGCGTTGTCTGCGCTGATCTCGACGCTCGTGATGCGTGCGTCTGGGTGAGAGCTCGCGAGCCAGAGCGTCGAGTAGCCGCCCAGGGTGCCGACTTCGAGAATGTGTCGGGAGCGTGTGGCGCGCGCGGTCAGCTGGAGGTATTTGCCTTGGGAGGGGGAGACGGCGATGTCTGGGAGGCCCGAAGCTTGCTGATGAGCGAGGGTGGCGGCGAGGGTGGAGGGTGGTGGGATGGCGGTGGGGGAGGAGTGGAGGTGGGAGACTGTGTAGGTGTCTACGTCGGTCCAGCGGGGGTCGTGTTTGGTGAGGGTGGGGTCGTTCATTTTTTGCGGGCGTTAAGATGGGGGTTGATTGGAAGGAGGTTTTTTGGGGGGGGGGGAAGGAAGTTCTTCTGGTGGTGAGGTTTGTACGGTATAGTTGATAGTTGTAGTGTGGGTTGGAATCAAAAAAGTGTGATGGCAGCTCTCAACGGCTGTCTTTTATACACCTGGCGACATGAATCCTACTCGTAAGCACATCCATCTTCCAGGCCCGTAACCTGGATATCCCGAAACCACCATTAGGACAGGCGTCAACGGTACGCGCGTTCAAATGGAACCGCTGCACTTCCGGCATGTGGGTGTGAGTGTTCAAGCGTGGACGTCCGCGATATGGAGCAGCGGTGAAAGTGGAGCAACGCGAAGTTGCCTAGCGCCATAAGATAACTAAGCAGACAATCATGTCCGACCGCCGAGCTTCATCTCCTTTTCCCTTCTCCGACCTGGCTTCCAATACCTACTGATGAGGCGAGTTCAGAGAAGTAGGGAAGAGTTGGTTGAGTCAGGCTTTGATTGGAGATTTTGTCTCACTTCTTCGTTGGTCTCTCATCATCATCACTGGTGAGATTTATTCTCTCTCCCATGTCAGTGCACGATTTGGCATTCTTGGAGAACGCGTAACTGGTTGTTTCAGTATATCATCTTGAAATCTCCCCTGCCCTTCCCCGTCACAGTGTTGTCAGAGCCGTCAATGATTATAGACAGAGAGAAAAATCAAGAGCAGCATGACCTGTACCATGGGCTAGACCGTACCGCTCATGGAAATCCAGGAAAAGTCCTCGCCCGCTCCGTCGCGCTCTCCGTATTTCCGTGAGGCAGACCTTCACTTCGCCGTCTCCACACATCCTTGGGCATCTTGTTTTGCAGTGACGTGGGAGCCGAAGATTCATCCTGCGTCCGCTTTGTCTTGAGCCAAGATCTCATTTTCCGTAGCATGCCCTTTCGGCGACGTGACGTTGTAGAGGTCCCGGAGGAGTCGGAGGAGAATTTGGAATCCGGCGTGTTCTTTTCCTGGTCGGTGTAGAGGACTGGAACAGAGAGGTGGATGGATGCTCGATGTTGTGGCCGACTGGGAGAGGCTGGGGGACTGGGATTCACCTGCTGCTGCTGCTGCTGCTCATCCGGCTCATTTGGATTTGCATCTGCAGGACCATCATCCCCGATGCTCATCTCCGCGATGACCGAATCTCGTTTCTCCAATTCATCCAGCCATACACTTTGCCACTCCTCGCTATCCCTCCGGGCCAATATCGCGTCCTCTCCTCCACCGTCCCCAAAAGGACCCACCCTGACTCCTCTATCCGCCCTCCACAGCTTCTGTTCCTGTTCTTCCAAACTCTGAGTCCGCTTCACGTTCTCACTACCGTCAGTATCACTTTCTGGAAACAGATCCACCTTTTCCACCCTACCTCCATCATCCCCTCCATTAGCAACCTCCTCCTCCCCTCCATCATAATCAATCCCCCACACCCGCAAACACCTCTCCAACACGCCCCCCCAACCCCTTTCCCCTCCTTCTCCTCCTCTTACCTCCATCTCACATCCCCGATACACATTCAGCGCTCTCGCCTTGCCCCCCAGCCCAGCACGAACATCCTCCTCCCGCCATGCTACAGCACAGGCTACGCATCGCGCTAGCGAGAAGACGAGTCGACCGCCTGAGGCGGTGTATGCAGCGGCTGAGATGGGATGTGCAGGATTGAAGTGGGAGGATTTACGGGTGTAAGCTGGGGGGTGGTTACAGAGGTGAATTTTCTTAATATAAGAAGGGTAGGCGAAAGCAGTAGAAGCAACTGTGGTAGTGTTCTGCCCGTCCGGAACAAAGGGGATGGAGTCTCGCAGGACTGTGGAAGTATCGAGTCCAGGCGTCGAAGGAGAAGTCGGAACAGAGAGCGTGGGTACTTCTGGCGCTGGGGTCGAGGGACAGAATGGATATGCCATGTTTTCCGCGCGCTGTGCTTACGCAGCTTCTGCGCCAAATCGTGGTATTGAATAGTCGTGGTATTGAATAGTCGTGGTATTGAATAGTCGTGGTATTGAATAGTCGTGGTATTGAATAGTCGTGGTATTGAATAGTCGTGGTATTGAATAGTCGTGGTATTGAATAGTCGTGGTATTGAATAGTCGTGGTATTGAATAGTCGTGGTATTGAATAGTCGTGGTATTGAATAGTCGTGGTATTGAATAGTCGTGGTATTGAATAGTCGTGGTATTGAATAGTCATGGTATTGAATAGTCGTAGCAACGAACACTCCTAACAGCTCACCTTGAAAGCGCCGCGACTCCCTCTCTCTCCCAAGCAGAAACTAGAATCCACACACCACACTACACCACACCCCCCACACCCAACTCACTATAAACCCCAGACCAAAAAAAAACACGCTATGACAGCGTCAGCACTGCTTCGACTCACATGTGTATGCGTTGGTGTTGGTCTACGGTATGAGTCGGTGTGACATTGTGACCTGTCATTACCCCGTCATACCATGGCCCTGTGAGTGAGGAAGCGTATTCGATATACGTGTGAACGGGCCAAGTGAGTGGGTGGGTGAGTGGGTGGGTGAGTGGGTGAGTAATTATCCAACAACGTAGCCCCTAGCCCCTAACCCCTACAGGTACTCCACGGTGAACATCCACACCACTCATATCCGAACAATCCACCCAATAACCCTAGTAGCGCGAGTTATCCTAATAATAAGGACTCCAGGGCAAACGGTGGCACAATGGACGAACGCGACTGTCGTGTACGAGCCAAGGTTGGCGGGTTTAATCGGTCATGGATGATGGCTGGCGGGTGTCGCGGAATCAATGTTGTATGGTATGTGCTTTGTGTTGAAGATGATGCGTAGGGAATACAGAGTGTACCCGACATTCCAAGGCACAGGGTTTTGATGATAGGTGATGATATAACTTCGTTCTTGAGCATGATCATACTTCATTATCATTATCATCATCACTACTAGCAGGACTACATCTACTCTACACCGATCTCATCTGCCACCAACGCCGCCACCCCTGTACACAACAAATCAACTCAATCATATCTACAACAAAATAGTCTTCAACAACACCAGGCTAAGTCTACGTCTTCAAAATACTCGCTGCCAAAAGAATGGCCTCGCTCGTCTTGCCCACCCATTCCTGCGCCAACGCCTCGTCCTCATCAAACGTGATGCTTTCCGTAATGCCTGGAAACGTCACGGGCGCATAACCGGTATCCCTACCGGGCGCAAAAATCGTGTGCTGATAGAACTCTCTCGTCGGCAGACCACCCTGACTTGTGAAAGCTCGGGAGAAATCCCTCGCCTTGTGGTTTTGCACCGTGAGGAGGGCGGTGTCGTTGTTGGCGACGGCTTGGTCGCGTAGGATTGTGAATTCTTGGGCTGAGGTGGCAAAGTTGGCGATTGCCGTGGTGAGTGGGGAGAGATCTAGGGTGAAGTTGGAGGAGGCAAGGGTTGTGTTGAGATCATCGAGGTATTTTTCGAATTCTGGGGTGTAGTCTGCGGGGAAGAGGGGAAGGACGGGGTCCGAGACGAGGTGATAGAGCAGGAGCGTTAGATATTGGCCCATTGCTTTGTGTGTATGGAAGCCGGGATCGCCAAAAGTGGCCTGGGAATGGAGGTCAGCTAGGGATCAGTGGCAGGCTTCGAGAGGTGCATACCATCCAGTGGTAGGAGTCATAGTTTGAGTGGTATGGGTAGACCGGGTCATTTGGTCCACCGCCTGCGCCCATGTCGATGGCCGAAATGCCTACATGTCATGATTAGTCTATGGTTGAGCAACTTTCGACATTGGAATTGCTGCTTACCGCGGTGCAGGAAGGCAGTGTAGTCGCTTCCACTACCAAGTACACCAACCTCGCCACCCTCGTGCTTCCATACATCGTATAGAGTGAGATCAGTGGCGTTACGGTATGGGTATACAATCTTCTTCATCAAGCTTGTGCTTATAGCGTGGAGATCCGGTGTGGCCGAAATGTCTGGAATGGGTCCAGAGACTGCGACATCAATATTGAGGTAAGAGACGGCAGCGTCCTTCAACCATGGAAGGTACTCTTCCATCCATTCCGTGCTTTGTCGGGTCAGTAGAGAACGTTTACAGGTACACGAAGTGTCTTACCTTCCAACAAGACCATACTCCTCAGCATCCCAACTGCAAAGCACGATGGTGCGCGCTGGCTTCCAACCAGTCTCTGCGAGCTTGCCAAACGCCTTTGCCAACTCAATGAGCACAGCAGAGCCCGAGTTGGGGTCCGCTGCCCCACCAATGATCCACGCATCTCTGTGATTGCCTACAATGATGACTTCGTCCTCTAGTGTGCCATTGAAAACACCAATGGCGTTCCAGATGGTACCGTATGTATCGTTCATAACGTTGCTGAGTGATAGCGTTGCACCTGAACCAGGTCCTGTGCTATATGTGACGCCTGGGATAGCGCCCTCCCAGCCTGTCCGGTTTACTCCTGTCCCGCTGGTGCCAAAACCGTTGAGAGCCTGCAGGATTGGCTGAGCCTCAATCCACGAGATGGGAAGAGACGGGATGCCTGGGAGAATGTCACTGCGGTCTGCACGTGGCGAGTCTGGCTTGGAGACATAACCGGGTGTAGTGGGGTCACCAGGGTATGTACTCAGGAACTGCACTGAACCTCGCTGGATGGTGGAAGGATTGCGCGCAGGGCCGTTGGGGTAAGGGACGACACCCTTTGCCTCTGTCATGTTACCATCATCACCAGGATCGGTGAAGATGACAGTTCCAATCATGCCGTGCTCCTGCGCGTTCTTGACCTTCAAACCACGGAACGGACCCCCGTACTTGGCCAAAGCAATCTTGCCCTCGAGTTCGACGCCGAGCGCAGTCAAGCGATCGAAGTCGACCTGCTGTCCTCTTCCCACGTATACATATTCTGCAGATGCGTTACCAGTGAAAGAGTAGCCGTGGAAGCTTCTGATGGAGTTGGGATAGCTTGTTGTGTCGTCTTCCTCAAGTACATCTTCCTTCAGAGTAGGCGTGAATGTACTGCCATTCGGATAGGTGAGAACAAGTGAATTCGAAATGGGATAGTTCAGGAAGACATCTGAGGACGATTAGCTACCATGATTTGCACAAGCGTAGCCATATTCTCGTGAAGAGCATGGAAGTTTGTACATGGTGTGAGGCTTACAGTACTCGTCAAGTCTAGCATTGAAGCCATACTCTGACCACTTGTCAGCGGTCCACTGAGCCATTGACTCGTTTCTGCCCGCGATATGATCTCCATGAGCTGCCGGGGGTTAGTTTTGAGATGGTATGAGGATTCGAAAGACGAACTGTAGTAGTATGACCATGTAGCAATCGAAGTGTTGTCAAACGAGTCGAGCAGAATCCGTTCATTCGCATCCAATGCTGGAGGAAAAGCCGAATTGCTCTCTTGCCGTTTCACCTGCTTGTGAAGATGATGATGAAACGCACGTTCTCTTTGACAGGCCTGAGCGCCAATGGCAGCGAGAAGAAGGATGGCGTTCCTCATAGCGAGATGAATCAATTGCAAATCTCGAACAGCACAGCGGGGAAGCTGTCGGGTACATGGCACTTAAGTAGACCGGCGTACACCGAAGCCACTGTTCGAGAAGACATGACGACTAGGGTTCTTGTGCAGGAAGATATTCTACCGAAGCCGGTAGCTTCACTCTATTCCCTGCTCCTGTTCGGATACACGCTCCCCGTACAGAGCTATGGTACGTTGTGTAAGCAGATACTGGACCATAGAAACGTCTACCGGCAGAGGGCTAACGCGGTCAGGAAGGTGGAAGTTGGAGAAGCGAGGTGCATAGCATTAATGCACTTGGCGGTCAACGATGACGATGTAGGTGTGGGGTAAACGGCGGTATTGTGGTTCGGAAGATACTAGTAGGTAGATAAGGGTTTGGTGCTATACTAATGTACATAGTTGGTAGAGTTAGTCGTCATTGTCTGAGTAGAGTATTTGGGGATCGGGTTAAGTGTCGGCACCTCTTACTGTCTTGATGTCTGCCCATGAAGTGACTTTTCTTGGCAGTGTTGCTATCCGCTTGTGAGCCATGGATACCTGAGTAGTACCTACGGGTAGGGGGTGAGCTTGAGTGCGGGGGCCTGGCGATCGTCGTGCGGGTACAAGGGCACACTTTGTTCCGATCAGGCAGCCGGCCGAGGAGTTGAGCCATTGGATGCACGTCTTGACACATGTGGGTTAGCCTGTTTTGTTTACAAATGGTTTCCCATGCTCAGTGGTTGGGGGCAAGTGTTTTGTTTGTATTGAAACAGTGACATCATGTCCACAATGGGCTGATCCCTGCATGAGCATGCATTAGGTCATCATTGTACTCTAGAGAGTTGAAGATGTTGGTCTCTCCAATTCTACGATTGGCAGGCACGCGTCCCCGCGAGGTATTTGACAGGAGCACGGACCACGCGTTCTGAAATCAACGCGTTTGCGGCCTAGCACATGGGAAACATGGCTGGGGTTGGTTGGTCTATTTGCGTGTATGATTTGCCATGTATGTGTTGTACCCACGACGCACGGGGCAACAAAATCTTGGGCGGGAGAGTCGTTGCGTCAATAGGTAAACACAACGTCGACAACCTACAACGACAACGACAACAACGCTGCAGGCAGCGCAGCCAGTCCATTCGGCAAACCCCTTCTTCGCCGCGCGAGATACTAACTACTAACCTTTTACAGCAGAACAGCAGTCACACCAGGTTCGCGGCTTCCGCATCCACAAACGGGGGCTGGGGGGGTCTCCTATGTACCTGCACTCTCTACATCACACTCCTACCCACGTTCGCTCTTTCCTCTTTGCAAGTGAAAACAAGTCCCACAGCCACAGCCACGGCAGCAGCGATAGCCACAGCGATAGCCACAGCGATAGCCACGGCCACAGCCGCAGCCTAACGAGCCACAAACTACCTACACAGTACATGTACAGCCCAACAGCCATGGATGCCTTTGCATCGCCTGTTCGTCTGGCCCCGCCCATGACCCCTCGACACCCATCCTCGCCCATCATGTCGCCGGGAGGCCGAAGAGGCCGCACACACGCCAGCTCGGATGAGAGCCGTCTGCGCGACCTGTCTCCAGAGACCACTCTCCGCGCATTCACAGAGCAGCCCGTCCCATTCGACACAGCACGGGACGAATACAAGATCTTCGCATGCATCGACTCTCTCACCGTTGCCGAGAGGGATCTGGGTGTGCGCGTAGCGAGGGCCGCCCATCGCCTGAAGAGCTGGTGTGCTGAGATCGAGCAATGGGGCTGGACGGGCAGCTTCGAGCAGCCGAGTGAGCAGTATCGGGAGCAGCGGCGGAAGAGCATCGAGACGCGCATCAGGGAGCATGTGGCCGACACAGACTCCACCGGCGCCTTGCCGCCGCTCGAATACTGGGGCTCGCTGTTGTCGGTCGAGGTGGAGCAGCACGAGGCTCGCTTGGACGAGATCGAAGAGGAGATGCTCAAGCTCCATGTCGAGGAGCTCAAGGAGCACGTCCTGGATATGCATCCGTCGAGCAGGTCAAGGCCCTCGTCTGCTGGCTTGGAGGCGGTTCGACAGAGTTACAAGCCCATGGACGACTTCTCTTTCCTCATCACCCAGACCCTCCTCTCTGCACTGCCGCATCATGCCCAGCTCAAGGATCGCTTAAACACCTGGTCCGCCCGCGTCTCCATCCTCCGTGCTGCTCCTCGATTTGTCAGCGAATTGGCCACAGCGAAGAAGGCCATGCAACTGGGTTGGGACGCCATAGAGCCCCCCGCAGATACCTCAGACCAGGCCTTCTTGGAGTGGAAGGATGCTGTAAACACGATCTCGAGAGTACTTCGAGGCAAGGTCTCTGATCTAGGGCAGCGCCTAGACCGGATGCTCGACACGTTAGAAGGCCGTCAGGATTGCCTGCCAGACTCCTGGATAGACACATTCGAAGAGACCGAAACAGATTTTGGACAGTGGGCACACGAGTCAAGACGAAGAGTCATCGAGTTAGAAGTGCGGAGGAGGGAGGAGGACAAAGGCACGAAAATGCGGCGCGTTCGCCAGCAGCCGTCACCACATTCCAAAGTCCCCCTTTTGGATCCAATACAATCCCCTGCTATAGAGTCTGTTTCAATGGCTACAGCCAGCCCCGAGACGCCTCAATTACCGCTACGATCAGCGCCCAACATCCTCTTGAATCCCTTGACAAGCCCAAAAAGCTTTTCAGAGGCACAAGAGGCTACGTCTCCCGTCGCGGGCAAAGAGGCACCAATTCGAACAGCCAAACCCAGCAACTCTCCTACTGCCTCAACAAAATCCAACACCCACTCCCTTTCACCTATCGATGAGAACCAGGACGGCCCCGAAGATATTGTGCAAGCACCTAAAAATAAAAAGGTCTCCTCAAGCCGTCCTCCCTCGCCTTCGGTCTGTCCTGCTCCTCGTCAACCAGGCACACCGGGGTCGCCTCTACGCAATGAGTTCTCTGTGGATGAGGCGAGCAGTTTGCAAAACCTGCATGGATTCAATCAAACCGTCTTCAGTGGTGTGCAAGTACCACGTATTGCTTTAGACTCTGCAAGCTCTCCATCTGTGATGTATTCTCCCACATCAAATGAAAATCCGCTTGCGCAGAAGGCCAACCTTGATCGTGGAATCGTCAACTTGGACGACGAGTCCGAATTCGAGGAGGGCGACACTGTAGTGCACTACGAGACTGAAGATAGTCCCGAGTACGCTGCCCCTGTGCAATCATTTGCAGACATATCTCCTAGTGCTCAGAATGAGAAGTATGATAACACGCCTGGTATGCTACCGAGTCGCTCTAAGCCTCGTGTGCTGTCCAATCCTTCAGCTATTGTCTCTACAGATGGCGATGATAGTGCACTGTTCGAGCCGCCACAAACGCCACGCTCGCGAACTGGTAGTGTTGGTTCGCTGTCATCAGAACTATCCTTTGAATCAGGTTCTCCGAGTAATATTGAAGAGTCACCTTCGATACGGAATGCTGCTCTTCGTGCCGGCAGAGCCCCTCGCCCAGAGCTCAATGCTGCCATGTCGAAGCGACGTACAACGAAGATGATTGCGGACGATGCTATGACGAGTACACCGTGGCCACCCACGAGCTTTGCCCCAAAATCTGCAAGCAGTGCCGAAGAGTTGGAGAAGAAGATCTCTGACATCTTGACTACCATCCCAGCTCACATCCGCCTCACCTCGGGCCCTGGTGCAGATGCCCCTGAAGTCAAACCAAACCGCGGTCTCGTTGCCAAAGGCAGTCGTCCATTTCTTCGTGCAAAGCGTTCAGTGAGCGGTCTCAAGTCCCCCGAGCTCACTTTGTCACCTGCCAAAAGTGAAGAGACAGGGCACACCATCACAGGAAGAAGGTCTGCTGCCAACCTCCGGGGCGACAACGACATCAAGCTGTATCATCTAACGCAGCCTGGGAAAGAACAGCCTGTCAAACTTTTCATCCGCCGCGTCGGTGAGAACGGCGAGCGGGTCATGGTCCGCGTAGGAGGCGGATGGGCCGACCTAGGTGAATACCTGCGCCAATACGCAGAACACCACGGTCGCCGCACCGCCAGTGATGGCAAATTCGAGATTCTCGGCCTCGAAGTCAAGAACACAGACACTTCCCCTGCTCGGCCCGACAGCGCCACCTCCAGACCCAGTCGAGGCTTCAGCTGCGGCGCCGCCACGTCAGCCAGCCCCCTCACCACCCCCATCAAGTCGGCGGACACGGGCTTCGCAAACAATGAGCCACCGCCCCGTCTATCCAGTTTCTCATCCACCCCCGGCACCGTCGAGGAACCATCTGCCCCTTCGACAGGTTCCTCGCAACGCTCGTGGCAAGGTCACGAAGTCGGGCTCGCGGGACCCAAGTCGAAGAAACTGGATCTCAGTGGCGAGAAGTTGGAGTGGATCGAGGGCATGATGAAGCAAGCTCGTACTGTTAGTGGGACTGTCATTCCACCATCGAATACCACGCCCTTTCAGCGTGACGAGCAGTATCCGCGCGGCGAGAGCAGGAGTGAGAGTCGTTCCGATAGTCGGCCTGGGACGAGGGCTGCGGCCAAGAAGCCCGAGTTTGGCGATTTGGGCAAGATTGGGGCGACGAAAAGGATCTTTTTGAAGGGGGGCAAGGAGGGAGGTTGAATTGAAGGGTTTTTTTCCTCTTTTCAAGTGTTTGGTTGATTTTCCGTTTGTTTGTTTCGTTGAGTTTGGGGATGGGAATGGAGATGGGGGCACAAAAAAGGGTCGGCAAGGCTGGCGTGCTGGAGTGCATTGGATGGAAAATATTGATACCCAGGGTTTTTTACTTTGCTGTCTACTCTCGTCTATCAGGTCTTTTTATCTTTTTTTTTCGTTTGTTTTATTGGGATAGGCATATGCACATGGCATATATACATACATCAAGGCGTTTTTTGTAAAGAGTCACACCAGGTCTATTAAAGTTCATATCTTAGCGTAACAGCAGAGGCTCTTTTCTTTGGTTTTGGGGATGTTGGGAGATAGTTTTGGGTTGGGTTAGGTTGGGTTGGTAATATGGGTGGATGGCTGGTGGAAAGGAAGACGAGGCGGCATGAGCTGCTTGCTCACCCAGCATTAGAAGATATTTTGTAGGTTTGAGGATGGTGATGGAGAGAATATGCGGTTTATACAATACCTCGCTCAATGAAGGGGATTGTTTCTTAAATCAACGTGTTTTCAGTGCGAGCGGTGCTGTCTGCAATGGAGGATCGCTGCGTTTAGGGTGCCTGTTGTGTCTGTTAAATGGTACAGCGATTGTGTGGCTAGACATCGCATATCCACGTGTTTATGTTATTGCGTTGGTGAACGCTGAGCTTGATGACCTTGTTTATGCGATGCATTTGCGGTGCTGGTAATGACACGAATATCGCTGTTCAAGGAAATCAATTAAGAAGATCACAAAAAGCCGATTTTCTCCCTTACCATTCTGCATTTCAAAGCAAGTTGGAAACCCCAAGAAGGAAATTCTCCTGCCAGGCTACCACAAGGTTTACCAAAAGCCGAGACGTGTCTGAAAACGACACAACAGATCTTGATCTGAGTGAATTAAATCAAGATATTATAGATGTAGCTAGCCAGGGTCAGGGGTCTAAACATAAGACTTCTTCTCCTTCTCCACTGTAAGCGGGCACTCTGTCTCGTATTCTTAAACGGGTTTATCTCTTATCTTTATCTCTTGCAATTCATCTAACAGTAGACTCGGCCTGCCTACCATCTTTGCAGCCAGGGGTCGTGCCACCGACGCCAGGAACTGTTCATTCGGTCAACAGCCGCGACGGCTTAGCTAATACTTACTATATATTCCATATACGAGATACACCGTACAAAGAGACGGGGTCCAAGCCTGTCCTCACAGATTATATATCGGACCGCCAGGGCCCGAATACTATAGGACCTAGGCGCTTTGGTTTGTGTTTCTGTTAGTCCCCGTATTAAAGCCGAAACGTTTGGTGTTTAAGGAATATAGATGATGGCTGCTATGGTGCTTACCTACCTTATAGGTGTATGATGCATTCACCCTAGTCTCGCTGTATTAGCAGCAGAGGAGATTTTCTCCCAGCTGCAGAAAATTTAAATCTTTAGCTATGTAGGGATATGGACACCGCGAGCAATTATAGCATGGGGATGCCTCTACCTTTCGTAATTCATGTAGGACTTATCGAGATTGTCGAATATGAAGCTGTGAGGGTGGAAATTCACTGATGCACAGGTTAGAATATGTGCACTTGGCCACAATAGTGAGTATTTACTGTTGTTTCTTTATCACCCATAGTGCTTACCTTATACCGAGGTGGTGACTGCCCACCACCAATGGTGGAGACTCCCCTGTCCGGGTTGTCTGGGAGACACCCATTTAGGACTAGTGGGGATATCTATATCTAGCCACCTTAGCTTTTCGTCCATAGATTCTTTAATTAATACTTTTATCACATTAGGTTATAAGCCTAGCTTATCTACTAGCATACTTAGCTTTATTTACTAGTACCTGCTTGCATTAATTACTCTTTATTAGCTTCTACTACTTTAGCTACTATATTACTATAATACTACACTACTAATATAGCTTCTTACCTAAACCTATTTAGCTTGTTACCTACACACTCTAGCTCTTTAGGATTAGCTTTACTAGAGGTTACACCTATCCTATACCCTAACCTTCTGTTAACTATAGCTCTCCCTCTATTACTACCTTTATTACTAGTTATAGCATCCTTAAAACTAGCATTTAACTTTAGACTAGACCCTTCCTTACTCCCTAAATTAGGTTCTTAGGGAGAGAACTATCTAGAATAGAGGTTAGTGTGAAGGGCTTGGGCTTATGCCCAAGCCTGGGTCTAACACAAGACGGACCGAGTCCAACACCACTACTAAGCGAACACACTGGACACCCATAAAAAGGCGTGGAGGGCTTATCTCTCCTTTAAGATACTGAATACTATTATCAACGCTCATTGCATTCTTCCCTTGAGGCCAGTCCATAACAGTTAGCCTAGACTATAGCCTTTAGGTACGCAGGTATTTAGCTAGTTCTATTAGGGAAGAAGCCTAGGCCTTTGCTTCCTCTTAAAGCTAAAGACTAGGATAAACAAGATAATAAAGCTCTTATTATACTTCTCTTGTTAGTATATAATAACCTTACTATAAGCGTAGCCTCTTATAACACTTCCTTAGAAGCCTAGAAGTATCTTATAAATAGGTTTAATAGGGACACAGGTAATACCTTAATCTTACTATTTTAGTTACTAATAAACCTTTACTACTATAATAGAGATAACCTAAGAATCTACCTTAATAAATTTTATTAGAGATAGACACGTATATCTAAATACTATACAACATCTATATAACCTATAGCTATAGTAATATATGCTATATTTAACTCTAACTAGGTTAAGGGTTCCTTCTTCCTAGCTATATTACCTAAAACTATAGATAATATTATTAATAATCTATCTACTAGGAATATTACTACCTTCTAAGATATTAAACCTAAGATCCTTAATATCTTAGAAAAGCATTCCTTAGATATTATAGATTCCTCTACTACTTACGCAGCAAGATAGACAGCTTCTAGAAAACCTATATTAACTAAGCTACTAAATAGTGTTCTAGAATATATATAGTGTTATAAGCATAACCTACTATTTATTAGCTACCTCTACCCTACCTGCTATACTCTTAAAAAGCACAAGGAGAGTTAAGTAAAGGGGGACGCACCTATAAATTCTAAGAAGCAGAAGGCAAATAATACTACCGCTATTAAACCCCCTAGCAAAGCTAAAGAATCTAATAGCTCTATTATAGTTATTAGTTACTCTACCTATACCTATATAGACCTAATAGCTTTACTACTACTATTATACCTACTACTAAATTTAAATAGCAAATACTTAAGACTAGTAAGTGCATACGCTGCTATACGCTAGCCTATAGTAATTAACCTACTATAATAGCTCTTTAATACTAGTACCTCTAAGTATATATCTAGCTGCGCTAATAACTTCGTGTCCTTAACTAAGAAGTTAGGCACTATTACTATAGCTGGCGGTATTAAGCTCCCTATTTAAGGAAGTAGCACTATTTAACTTTACTATATTTTACTAGATAGCTTAACTACTATTATAGAACTAATAGACACTATCTATAGCGCTAAACTATATAGTACCTAATTATTCTTATAGTCTTATATCTAATATAAAGGATTTAAGCTCTTTAGTAAATATAATAACCTATTCCTCTTTAGAAATAGCTACTATATATTATAGGCACAACATATTAATAGTATTATATAAATCTAAACTAAACACCTATCCTTACCTTCTATATTTACACTCACAAGCTTATACCTACTAATTAACTAAATAATAACGGCGAAGGCGATAGTAGTAGCAACAAAGGCAAAGGATACATATAATAGTTTTAAGACATACTAACAATTTTATAAAGTAATAGGATACTTATCTATACTAAACCTAACACGTAGTTATATAGATAGGCATTTAGTACTAGCAAAACTAGACAATTTTAAATACACTACATATTAATAATTAAAATCTGTGCACTATATCCTAATATTAGGATTACTAAGGTATACCTAACCTCTTAAACTTATTTACTTAGACCTCTCTAGAAAGATACCTATAAGAAGTATTAGTAGTGCCTAGTACTACATCTTATTTATTAATAATACTACACAGTATTTATAGATTTAGTTTCTTAAACTTAAGGCTAATACACTATAAGCTATTAAGGATTTTATTACCTATACTAATACCTAATTTAAAACTAAGAGAGCTCCTATAGGCCTAAATATCCTTACATATTCTATTATTAAGATATTTAAATCTAATAATAGTAGAGAATATATTAGCTATAATCTCTAAAAGTTCTTTATAGTAAATAGTATTACTTACAAACTAGTACTACTATACTATTATAAGATAAATAGTATACTAGAATAGTTTAACTAAACCCTGTTTTAAATTATATAATATATAATCTCTTCTAATAATATGCTTTTCCTCTAGGTAGAAGCTATAAAGTTAGTAAACTTCCTTAAAAATATAGCGCTATATTCTACTAATCCTCTGCGTCGCACACTATACAAATAGCTCTTTAGGAAGAGGCTATCTATTTAATAACTCTAGCCCTTTAGCATCCTAGGATATATTTATATTCCTATAGAAGCTAGAAAGGTAGGCACTAAACTCCTATATTGCTTAGAACAAGGTATATTTATTAGCTATAGCTATAGTACCTAGATAAGTTGTCTCTATATACCACAATAATATATTATTATTTAATCCTAAGATATTATATTTGCTGCACCTGTTCTATAAATTTTTAGGCCTATTTAGGAATATAGAATAAATCCTACACTAGGATATCCTATAAATAACTAAAATATTAACGCATAGAGACCTAGGGAATTAGTTACTACTCTCCTACCTATTAAAGTTTATAATAATACTAAGCTAGGGGATATTAGTAACCTTCCCTCTACCCTATAAACTCCTACCCTTAAGAGTAGAGCTACAAGTCTACTACAGAATTTTCTTAATAGTCCTAACTACCTCTCTAACTATCTACTAACTGCAATAGCATAGGATACGCTATCTCTAGGATCCCTAAGCTTACAAACTTCTAACCTACTATATAAGAGGTTACAAACTTCTAAATTATCTACATCCTTATAAGGAGCTATTACCTATATTAGGTAATAGATAAGAATACCTAAGTAATACTAAGGTATATATATATTAGCACAACCCTTCTTAACTATATATAAGGAGGATACACTCGCATATACCTATTTATTCTTAATAACCTTCTCTACTATAGTAATATTAATAGACACTCTATAGATATATACAGAAGCTACTAGTAATACCTATGCTTCCTTATAGCGCCCTGCTATAGAGAAGGAAATTGCTAATTATGCTAATAATAGAACCTAGAAAGTAGTACCCTAATATAAGATACCTTTAGGAATAAAGCTTATAGGCACCTACTAGGTCTTTAACACTAAGCAAGATAAATCTAGTAATATAGTTAAGAGAAAAGCATAGCTTATTATATAGGGATTTTCTTAACGCTATAGTTTTAACTATAATAATATATACTCCCTAGTTATTAGATATAATAGTTTATATATACTCCTAGTACTAGCTGCTATAAAGGGATAGTATATATAATAGGTGGACTTTAACACTATATACCTAAATAGATATCTTAAGCATAAGATATACTGCTAGCCACCACTAGGAATAGCTAATAATAGTTTAGCGTTCCTACTACTTAAGACACTCTATAGACTTAAGTAATTAGAACACAAATAGTATACTATCCTATTAGATTAGCTAAAGACCTAGTATTTTGTCTAAGCAGATTTTAACCCCTATATCTTTATATTAGAGTATCTAGTTCTTAGAATCTATATAGATAACATCCTAATAGTAGGTATATAATATTAGATCGCCCACATGCTTAAACTTATAAAGACCCGCTTCTAATTTTAAGATCTAGGACGTCCTAGAATACTCCTTAGTCTAGAAATTAAGTATCTTAACTACTATATTAAACTCTACTAACGCACCTATATTATAGTAGTGCTTTAATAATATAGGATAATAGACTATAATAGGTAATAGACACCTATTAACCCTAGCTTATTCCTACTATAGACCCCTACTAAAGTACCTGTTAATCTTAACTAATAGAAGAAATTCTAATCTATTATTAGTTTACTTAACTTTATAGTAGTAGTAAGTAGACCTAATCTAGTATATACTATTAGACTTCTTAGTTTATACAACGCTAACCTATTAGATAACTACCTTAAGTTAGTATTCTAAGTACTCTAGTATATTTGCGCTATATCTACATATTAGTTAATAATTAGAACACTACCTAGTAGACAACGCCTAGAGGTTGTAATATACTTAGACGCTTTATACGCATTAGATCCTAATAATTTAAAGTTATTTTCTAGATATATCCTAAAGATTAATAGCTTAGTTATCTCCTAGTCTTCTAAGAGATAGAGCTGCGTTGTATAAAGTACTTATAAAGCTAAATATATAGCTTCCTTATATACTACCTTATATTTAGTCTAGGCCTATCACGCTATTATAGAATTAATACCTATAAAGCTAATATATTAGCTACTTATAGATAATAAACCTACTATCTTACTTATTTAAGACTAAAAGCTTAATTTATAGTTAAAATATATTCACGTATATTACTACTTTGTCTAGGAGTAATTTTTAGCTAGTAATTATAGTATCTAATATATTATATTAGTAGAGAACCTAGCTAATATATACACTAAAGCATTGCTATGTCTAACGTTAGAGAGACTTAATTAACTTATCTTAGAGCTTACTATCTAATATAGACGTTTTTCCTTTGTATATTTATAGTTACTATAGATTTAGGGGACTATTATTTCTTTATTACCTATAGTGCTTACCTTATACTAAGGTGGTGACTGCCCACCACTAATAGTGGAGACTCCCCTGTCCGGGTTGTCTGGGAGACACCCATTTGGGACTAGTGGGGATATCTATATCTAGCCACCTTGGCTTTTCGTCCATAGATTCTTCAATCAATACTTTCATCACATCATTTACAGTAGGTAGAATAATGGACAGCATTGATCTAGTCGAACATGGCATATTAGGAACTAGCAAGGCTGCAACCTCACGTGCGCAGGACCTGTAATGGCATGATTACAAGCAGTTGGCATGTAAACCACCGGGTTTTAGAGGCACAACGGCGTTTTGAGTACAGCACTGCGCAAGTGCCAGCCGTACTGTTTCACGTGTCTCTCCTGGCTTCAGTTCGATTTCGCACATACCTATACTTGGGGTCGCCCTCGAACTTCACTTGGCAGAGAGACTGATTGGGAAACACCTTTCCTGTTTCGCAGCAAGCCTATGTGTTCTAATTATTGTAGCCTATGAAGGTGCCAGGGCCAGAGTACCCGCACGGAACCTCTCCCCCCTATCTTACTGTTGAAAGATATTCCTCTATAGTTAAGATGGAATGAAAATACGTCAGGTAAGAGGGGGCCATACTTAGGCAGAGTAGCCATGAACAGAAGGCAGACAGGGATGGTAAGCCTCATGGTTGAATTTGGAACGGTAAGAAGGATGCTTGATGTGTATTTATGTAATTAAATTATAAGCACAGCCAAAATTAGGCGTGTTTGTTATAAATAATGTCACTACGTACCATAGGTGTTAGGCAGGTATGCCATCTTATGTACCTAATGGAGGAAGAAGACATGTTTATATATTTTAACCTTAGGGTAGAGAAAATTATTTAACGGGCTTTTTTGCTGCAAAGCCAACGTACCAGCCACGTACTGTAGTAAGTCCTAAGGTACATACTTTCTCTACAGGACCTTTGCAGCTGTGTGATGTATGTCTTACGTAAGATGCGCGCAGGCAGATTAGTATTAGCGATACGATGATTTGCATTTCGAGATTATGTATCCTTTATATGACCTGCGTGATGAGAGTACCCTCGGGATAGAATGGTTGTGTAGTTACTGAGGATAGGGATAATTTGGGAGGTGGATCGTTGACTTATGACTATTGAGATAAGAGCTCGTCTAGGTGAGTAGAGTTTCAAGATTGTCTATCCAGAAATCGTGATTGGTATACCCATAGACTCTGAGGGTGACAGTCCAATATCAATTGTCGATCGTGGCCATACCCGTGGCTGCGCAGAATGTCAAAGTCGAGACTCGAGAGCGCCCGCGCACCCATCAGCCTTGATGCTGAGCCATCACTAGTCAACTGGAGGCTTCGAGCGTGTCGGCGGTGAGGCAGGTGATCATATGGACGATTCAAGGTGGTACCGTATCCAACGGTCCTCTGCCATATGGTGTAGTATTAAACGGCTTTTTGGCCTTCTTGCAATAAGGTTCAACCCAGCATTTCTATTTAAGCGCAGGCTTGAATCTGTGTTTGCGGCATATCCCATAAAATACGGCATGGATTAGTCGAGTGTATGTATTACAGTACTCAGTAGTAATACTATCCCACCTGAGTTCCGTAATTAATCTCCAAGCCTGTGGGATCTTTGTTAGCTACTTGAACCGCAGATTACACTAGGATGAACCTGGACTACTGTGATGGTTCTTTGGTACAGCATACTGCAAATCCTTCTTGTAGTATCGAATATGTTTGTCTTCCCCGTCCTTGTAGGTGCACCCGTTCATCTATGACTGATGAACCCTTGGGGACAATGCCGTCTTTGAAATGAATATATTAGTTGCAGGAAGATGTCCCGATATCCATGAATTCTGGTACAGACTGGCTAGTACAACCGCATATAATATAGCCCACTATCTTTATGTTCAAAGATACCCCTCTGTCATCAAGATAGAGAGAAGATAGGTAAGAGGGGACTTTGCATACACAGAAGCAGCCATGAACAGAAGGCAATCCAGGATGGTAACCCTCATGGATGCGCATAGAATACTCGATATGATGCTTAGGCAAACAGAAGTTTAGTGAGAGATATTTAGCATGTATCTGTGTAGGTATAACACATGTGAACCTGCGAAACAATAAAGACATGTTTATGTAGTCTGATATTCGGGAATAAGCCGGTGGTTTGAAGAAAATCAATGGTTTGACCTTGCTGCCACAGAGCTGGACCTATACATATGCCTAGTAAGCACTCAATTCACGGGCCTTTGTAGAACCTAGGGAAGAAGGATCTTACTTTTCCCGATATGCTCTAAACATCCAGCATACACCTTGTATCAGCCTGTGTTAACAGTGTGCATTGGTCTAGGCATTTAGCATCTGCTGTAGAGAGCTATTAGGAACCATAGGTGTTGAAATTAGCTCAGGATGAGCATGACATAGCGAACCTATAGTTAATCGTGCATGTACAGTTTAGGTAGTTTAGCCTCACTACCACGGGTGAATCTGCAGCAAGTATTTGTCTTTGATTTTTTATGCAAGTTGAGATTACATCATTGACTAAGTGACGTATTAAACTGATTTGGCCCGGATGAATGCTGTATAGCCATCTGTCCGGCTCGTAAACTCCAATGGCTCGGCTTTAATACGGAGGACTAGCAAAGAGACAACCCAACGTGCAAGGGTCCTGTATTTCCTCCAGGGCCTGAAAGTGGTAATCGTAGTAACATCCATACACATTATACAGCATGCATATTTGTGGAGCAAGCAAGCAAGTCAGCCCAGCGGTCGTTGCCTTCAGTCGGTCTCGTCATGCTTTAGGTCATTACTACTTACTGTGCATGTAGGATGATGGCCCTCGGGAAACTCGGTACATATTAGGATGACAGGGGCTAGGAGCCTGGCTGGGCAACAAACAATTATCATCGGGCCCTTTTTTCTTTCAGGATATTGATCGAATCATCGGGCCCTCTTTCATACAATATTGATCGTACCACCGTGATCTGCGGTTGGTGAACGGTGTGGTTTGACGGGGCCGGGCATCGAGCTCATGAACCCTGACCGGAATTCGTTCAAGGTTCGGTGGACGCGGAGGATTTTTATTCCATGTATTATCGTTGTTATTATTCCCTTTCTATATGTATATGTATTATGGACTAGAGTCATGCTGATGCCAAGGCGGGCGTGGCATTGTTCAGGTTGAAGGATAACAAGCAAGGGCTCTGTGATTTGTCGTTATCGTTGGTCGATCAGCAGTCTGCCCGATGGATATTGTGTCTTACTTAACAGATGTTCCAGCTTCCCCCACGGTTTCCGATACAAAGTCCCCCAGTATACTCGGCCGACTTGGAAGTCATATCCCTGATGGTCCCTGCTGACTGAGAACAAGACCGAAGAATAGCCTCTTCAGTGATGATCAAACGACTTGACCTAGGCGTTCTCGTTAATGCTTACACAAAAATTATCAATCTGGAGATCGCTGACTCGGAGTTGTGTGAATATATACAGGCATTTTGATTGGCCGAATTGGGGAAAACAAAAAGAATTTGCGGCTGTATAGATCGTGCGAAGTTTTCAAAGGCCATTGCGATCAGGTATGACGAGAATGTGGCGTGAGTCCTGCATAATTGGCCGCGGGAATTTGTTGCATCCTGTGTCCCAAATACATGGAATGAACACCCAGCGACTCCAGGTGGGACAGAGAAAGAAACATGAAGCTACAATTGCCTATGTGGGTTAGAGAAAGAAAAACCCCAACGCCAAAATCTCATGTCGCATGTTGATAGATCCAGCAATAGAGGATGTTTGTGGGCAATGTACATGGCACGTGATGTTACTTTGAACCCACGTCATCACCACTCCCTCGTTTAGCTGACAATATGGAGAGCACACAGCATCTCATTATGTGAACATGTTCGTTCGTGCGTCTTACCTCAAAAAGCGATATACAGTATCACGATACGGAGTAGAGTTTGGTTCCTGAACCGACTGTCGGTCCTAAGTCGGCCCTCCAACCCTGGAATTAACATGCACCACAACTAACAGACGGAGGAATTGTACAAATTCAGCAGGAAGTCCGAGCAAAACCTCCAATAGCCCAACAACCAGTACTTTTGACGATCCAAGCCCGATATTCACTTGTGTCGGCGGACTATCCTGCGCATAACAGACTCAAACATGCCCCAATACATATGGGGTGATCAGCCCCCTAAACGTGTTGCTAGCCACAAGACAAAAAACAACGAGACCCATGTCCACTGCACGCGGCACTTGGGTTTCGTCTTTCTGAGTTTGCGCGGGTCACCGGGAACTTGTAGATCTCTCGGTGCGGAACAATGATACCGATTTTGAAGATCTCCTTAGTGGTGTCTTGTCCGGTCCTCAGGCCCAAATTCCAGGGCTAGGTTGCACACTCGCCAAACCCCACAGTTAGCCTCTCCCAATACCCCGATGGTGGGTGTGGCCGTGTGTGTCGGCATGTTCGGCGCTGGGTGAGTTGCTCCTAGCCAGGTGCTTGGAGAAAGGATAGTGTCATGGCTTGGCGATAGGAATGCTTGCCACATACTAGGTAGATTTGTCTGGCGCGCCGGTAGATCCTTGTCCCGCCGGCGTCAAAATGTGGATTGCCATGACATCTTAGAGCAGTATGGATCGTCATGTATGGGGCCTTTAAGCGCGATCCGCTGTCGAGATACTGTGGTGCTAAATGTGATCAGCACCGATCTGATGCAATTAGCGACGGGGAAGAATTCGCTCGCAGCGAGCACCGAAAGGCTGTGCACTCGAAGTCCTTACAAACTCCTAGTTGCTAAAAAAGTGGGGACAAAAAGGGTAGTAGTAATACGACGGTGGTAGCGAATCAGCAATCGTCAAGAGCTGATAAAGAGCTTGCGATGATATGACCTATCAAGAATGGGACCTGTGCTGGCAGTCCTCTGTCGACTCAGATTTAGCAACTCATCATCTTAGAGTAGCATGCCGAGCCAAGAACTGCAAGCCACAATTGAGCTGATAGTTGGCTGCCGGAACTTGCCTTTGGATTGTTCCAATCGTCGCCTGGATCATGTCGACAGGAGCCCCCCCCTATGAATTAATGTGAACTTTGTCTCGTCCCTAGAAGGGACAAACCCTGAACAGTAGCAAGCCATCACTTGACAAATCGCGAACAGCACCCTGGCCTGGCAAGGTAATGTAGCCTTCAGCCTGTAGTAGTATGTAGTGCCCGCGATGCGAACTCTCCGAGCATGCTACTCGACTTAATCATCAAGCCATTAGATGCTAGGCACCTAAGTGCCGACCCATCACTTACGGAATATCTGGACCTCGGATCCCGGAAAGAGTTTCACGACAACTTCCGCTTCCTAGCACTTGGGCCCCAATAGATTGGTTTGAAACCAAATCAATAAAGATATCGGCGCGACATGCGGCAACAGGGCCCTTGCCGAGAAGGCAGGCGGTTGTGGAGGTTCATACCGCCATACGATCGGCTGTGGCGCGGCGGGGGATGGCACAGAGTCCACGCTCATAGTGCGTTTCACAAGACTGCCACAGAACGTTCGGTTACATTAGCTTTTTGCGACCGTTATGGCAAGGTCTGATTGTTGGTGAGTTTCTAGATGCAGGGGGTGATAGTAGTCGCCCTTTTTCGCCAGGTAATTAGATAGATGTAGAGAGAAAGCAAAGACTAGTCTTTGTTGTGAACATTCGCGCAAGTTGAACATTGACACCTTTGTTCCCTGGCGGAGATCAGTATCATGGGACGGACGCTCCGATTTATTTTGACTTAAATCTAGATTTTGCCTGTGCGCGCTACTGAAGAGTAGAGCCTGACGTGCAAGTTGCCCTTAACAGAGCCGTGATCTACAGGTACAATGGCCTAGCTTATGGAAAGCTTTACACTGCTCAGCCTGTACTGAACCAGCCGGGTCAACCAGACGGTAGCACACAATGCTTGCACACGCAATTCTCGCCGAATGAGCGTGGACGACTCCCGCATGAGTAAACAAGGCGCATCACTTCCGTCAACTTGCTGCACAAGTCGAAATAAGCTGACAGTGGTCCTCCGACTAGGCTGGATGAGGTCTGTAGGCGCTCAAGTTGCGAGATCGAGTAAGGACGAATTAGCACAGCGGCTAGATCTTACCTACTCATATCCATGAAAGGCCCAGTCGTTTAAATCGATCTCAGCGAAGGGTATTGACGATCATAAGCGCTCGTTCATGAGCTCTATTGAGTTTTCTTGTATTCACTGGTGGACGCGAGGCAGCCACCCGGGCGATCATTTGATTAGCACCATCTTGCACCACGGCATTTGAGAGGTTGCTTCTGTTTACAGTGGACGGGTGATCGACAAGGCAGGACTGGGGTCAGTGTACATAGTGATGCCCATCGTTGGTAGTACAACTAACCAGACTCCCAGAGCTAGGTTAGACTGTAATGGGCAAGTCCTCATGTCCTATCTCCTGGGTATGAGATCTCCGTGGAGATGTAGATTTTGCCATTCTTTACACGACTCTCAACATTGTTCGAGCTATTGACCCGCTAATGGGAATTGAGTAAGCCTCCTGCATAGCGGCTGTAATGTCCTGTGGCTGTAGGCAAAGGCAGAGCCATTTCAGATTGCAAGTGCGAAAATAAACGTCTTCAAATAGCAAGTACTGCTGACGTGGCTGTTGGAATTTCGGTAAAATTCGAGGTGGTGCGTTCTTTATTGGATCTGCGTAAGGGAGGGAAAGTCAATATTCAGAGGGATCATTATATCAAATACGCTCCTCGGCGAACAGGTAAAAAGCTCGGGTAGATCATATCAAGCCATAGTAGACAAAGTCTCTTAGATAGCCTGACAACCGGTAAAGTATAGGGACAAGCCTCTTCTATAACCCAGACTATACTGGAGCTTGATAAAGCCTCGTATTGCCTGCACTGCATCGCGTAAGCAATCTATTTCAAAGAGAAATACAGGAGGATCAATATCGCGATACGACTGAGCCCCTGGTGGACCATGTACAACATCAAGTGACAGAAGCTCTCATGGATGAGACGATGTCAACCATTGCTTCAGATATGAAGGGCATTAGTCGTCTGGCAATATGCGATCAGCCGTTCCTATTCGCTTCAAGCCTTCTTGGGTGCAGAGCGCAGCAGTGCTCTGAATGGTAATCATGTCCCTGCGCCCCTTGCATGGCGCTCAAAGGAATCTTCTCATTTTAGTGATGCCCCCAAAGTATCTCCAAGGGCCAAAAAAGCATCTCGATGGCTGCTGAAGCAGGGTCAAAGGGTGAATGCGTCGACATGGGTCGACTGTAGGTATCCATGGATCGTGACACGGTCAAGGTTGCACACATGCACCACCAGTTTATCTCGACCGAGGAGTAAACTGTGCTTGATGCTGACACGTGCACCAAGTTGGAGCTGTGGGAGGAGCATTCTTGGTTCTTTGGCGTGGGGTAGTCTTTGTGGCGTTCGCGTGGTGAAGAAGAGATAGGCAACTCAACCAGGCGCGAATTAATGAAGCGGATTGATTGTTGGTAGGAAAGTCGGGCCATGTACTTGGATCGGAATAGATAGGTCAATAACGATACTGTTGGATGATACATACATGGCTTGCGGAACATATGGTAGAGTACATGCCTCATGTGTCATACCGCACAGCTCTCGAAGCCATGCTATCGTCCGGCCCATGTCCATGGTCTGTAGACGCTGAGGCAACTTACGCGCGTGGCTCAAGCTCCAGGCATGCTGCCGTCCGGCGTCGGCGAGCTTTGGAGACGGCCTCTACCGGTGGCCTCGACACAGAAGGGGGGCCCGGTAGGTCGGAGGCTGCGAAGCATTGGTCACCGGGAAATTTATATAGGACAGATCTTGATGTATTCGTCAAGTGCAGGCTGCAAGGGTCGAGAATGCAGAAAGTGTTGACATAGTAAGAGAGGAGGGACCTGGCGAGCCAAGACATGCGATCGCGCATGGTAGGCTAGGTGTTGTATGGTAGGTAGGGGAGATGCGTCAGAGGCGACCACGGGGAAGCGCGCCTCGCCATCCCTCCCGCTCGCAAGCCCCAACCTTGCGCAAACACCGGCAAGCGATCATTGCAGAGCAACTACGCTGTAGCTACTAGAGTAGGTACTGTAATGTATGACTGTCCTGACTTGGAGTTTGAGTTAACCACTGCGCTACGGCTAACGTGATCCACCACCGAGCGCCCACCCCCACCGAGCGCCCACCAACACCAAAATCCACCACCCACTAAATGAGGATATTGCGCCACCTATAATAGCTATTATTACAAGATTTCTTAGAGTTGCAATTATTAGATTTATTAGAGTAGATTAAATATTTTAGATTATATAAGCAGCTTTTTAGGGGGTCTAATTAGGCGCCTACACTATAAAGTTGCCTCTACTACTATATCCTCTTCTACTAGCTCCTTATTAACTACCTTAGCTAGTATAATAGTAGGAGGCTTAAGGATTTACCTCTTACCTATTTAGGATATTTTAATATTATTTTAGAGTTACTTTTCTAATTACTTAGTAGTTTTCTACTTATTATATATAGTAGCTTTTTAAGTAGCTTTCTTCTCTTACTTCTTCTTAGTAATTACTTAATTTAGGTAATACTTTTTTATAAGTTAAGCTTTAGTAAGCTTCTATTACTTATAAAGCTTAATTATCTTACTTTTTTAGTATTATAGCTCTTATTCTTTAAGGTTCTTTTACTTCTAGAGCTTAAATACTTACTTTACCTTTAATAGTAAAATAAATTAGGTACTACTACTATAATTATTATTAGGGGGTAATAATAGAGGTTTACTACACTTCCTACGCTTCTTCTTATTAGCTAGGGTAGCCCTTAGGTGTTTATTTTTATAGTTAAGTAGAGTATTTCTTACTAATATAGTATAGATTATCTAGCTAAGCTTCTTTAACTATTTATTATAGATATTAATTATAGTATTATAGAGTAACTACTCTATCTTTCTCTAATTACTTATACTTAATATTAAGGTTATACTATTACTTAAAGAAGGCTAGTTACTATTATTTATAGGTGCTTTAAACCTTAAAAGGATAATATTAAGGTTAAGTAGTAAGATACCTATTACTTTAAAAGCTATTAATATTAGCTTTTCCTTAAAGGTATTACTTTATATAGTATTAAATAACTAGTAGAAATCCCTCTTAGTAATATTTATAAGCCCTTAGGAGCTATCTAGAAAACTAGATAGTTAAGCTTTATATAAAGCTATAAAGGGAGCAAATACTATAATATTAAGTAGCTAAAGGGTATAAGTGCTATAAGGGGGATATATTATAAGTAGTATCTTATATTTATTATAGTACTTAATAAACTCTATTATTATATAAGATCTATAGCTATTAAGGATAAGGAGCTAGTATAAAGTATAAGCTTTAGCTTTTATCTTATAATTAAACACCTCCTTAAGCTAGGATACCCCTAGGGTATAGCTTATCTACCTACTTAGTAATCCTATAAAGAAAGCTTAGTATTATAATAGGTTAAAATCTTATAACTAGGTATCCTATAAAGCTCTAGATTAAGACTAATAAATAAGGGTAGAGGTAAAAGTAGTACTATTAGCGTATATATAAGCTATAGTAATAATCTACTCCTTATTATTATCCTAGAGTATAGCTCTAATCTTTCTCTACTTATAGGCGCTCTTATTAAATATATATTTAGTTTTTAATAATACTCTAATAAGAAAACCCTTCTTATCTATATTATAGATATACTAACTCTTAATATTATATTACTCTATTTTTTAGTATAAAAGCTTAAAGTATAAGCTATACTTAAAGGTAGAATTAGCTTTAAAGTAGTTATAATTAAGCCTAGTAGCCTAATAGGAGATAAGATTAATATTATAGTAGTTAATAAAGCGCTATACCTAATTTTTACCTACTAGATTCCCTATTATTTTAGTTATAAAATTTTAAATAATAGTTTATATAGGGGGTAATCCTTGCCTATAAAGCTCTTTAATATACTCTATAAGCTTGCTTTCTTGCGTGGTGTTAAGTATTTAACTATTTAGTGTAACAAGGTAGGCGCCCTGCCTGTAAAATGAATACTACGTCATCTCCCCTGCCTGTACCACTTGGCCATGGTCCAAAAGGTACGCACGAGAATACTTAAGCTAAGTAATCCTCGCATAGTATAATATATATATCTTAGCTAAACAGCCTAAAGATAATAGTGCTAGACCCTAGCGCCAACCCATGAACCTTGTTCAAGTCTAGCCTAGGCATCTAGTAAGCGCTAGCTATTTTTTTTTTAGCCTAGCCTTGTTACATTTAGTAGAGTAGTAGTACGCGCCTACTAAATTTTCTAGTGGCGTCTAGATAAGGTTAACTACAAGCAACTATACTTTTCTGCTATTTCTAAGTATGTAAAATCTTCTCTAAGAGTTAAGGATTTAATTGCTGCAAGCGCGTCGTTAATAGGTGCCATGGTTGTTAAGAAATTTAGTGTTAAAAATTTGGTGATTTTGGTGTTGGTGGGCGCTCGGTGGTGGATCACGTTATACATGGTGCAGAATGGACCGAAGGGTCAATGCGGATGGGTCCATGCGGAATCTATATGGTACGTTTCAGATACAAAGGCATTTTAGCCAAAATGCGCTGCACAAGACAAGGTCCGAGAGGCGCACGCGCGATCGCCAGCCCACTGCTCGAGCCTCTCTGCTGGAAGTCGGACGTGGGAACCATAGACCCGGTATCGACCATCATGGGACCCAATACCGAGTTACCGTCAGGAGAACTATTGCCCTTACCGGACTGCACGGTCGGGCAGAGGATACCGACCCTAGGTGTTGAAGACGAGGAGGTGCAAAAGACAGGCAGAAGCATGTAACACAAAGAAACTGGCGCTGGATGATGACACAGTAATCGTGAGACAGTGATACTGACCATACCTTACAATGTCGGGAGACGAGGAGATTTCCGTACAGTCTAGTAGGTCAAGGAAAAAAGCAAGCCTGCATGGCACCTGGCTTGATCAAACAGGGGGGCCGCCTGCTTCTTCACGATTCAGGACACGTTGAAGGCTGAGATGCAGTCGGGCGTACATGGTGCTATTGTAGACGATAATAGTGGCATCGTGGGGCGTGGGATTTCCTGCTTTCTCTAGAGGTGGAGATAGAGGTGGAGATGCAGGTGGAGTGGTAGTGGGTGCGTGAAGAGAAAAAAAAAAGAAAAAAGGACAAAGGCATGACTTGCCATGGAAAAGCAGTCTTGCACGACCGCCACACATGGCTGCCCTGTATGCTGGTATGTGGGGGAATGCTACAAGATGCCGATCGGAGAACAAAACAAGCGCAGCGAGGCCGGTGAGGGGCGTTACAGCAACTCTGTTGGAGAGGTTTAGTCGCTGACGCCAAAAAGTCCCCCATTGATAGATAGGGCCGAAAGGGATTCATGCCGGATCGCTTCGCACACGTGCGTCCAGTCTCGAGCCATGGAGATTGGTGGAAGTGATGCAGAGAGTCTCGTACGTGAACCATATGTCTGGGTCAGGCCTTCAGTCGCATCAACCGACGCGTCTCCATCACGTACCGGGACTGCCATCGCCGCTAATACTGACATACACCGTTGACACCTGTTGTGCAACGCTACTATGAGCGCACACTGATTGTCGTCTCAATCACGATGACGCGAGTGGAAATGAATCGAGGCCATTTCAGGGTCATCCTAGCGAGATGAAGGTGGTGGAGAAGGACTTGTCCATGCAGCGGACCTGTCGCAGGAAATCTTGATGCTACTACCGTGGGATAAGATATGGGATGTGGGATGTGGGATGTGGGATCCTCTGTAGTCATCCTCTGTAGTATGTACTATTGTACATGGCGGCCAGTTCCCATCGGCGTACCCCTGTCGTCGCCGTCGATAGCTCGTCAGCCACAGGCATGTTTGAGTGGGCGTTCACCATCCACTAGGGACTGGAGCAGCGGAGCAGCGGAGCAGTGGAGCAGGCAAGTAAAGCAGCCATAGGGTACTGTGTAGTAGTAGCGTTGGGTAGGGTAGGTAGATGGCTGATCACGACACCTGGGAACAACGGCCTCTCGTTCTGCCCAGCTCCACCGGTCGCCAGTAAGGAGTACCTAGGGAGTCTGCGTCAGCTTTCTGGCCCAGGCAAATCGGCCCTGTCTCCATCGAGACCCCTCGTCGCCGTCCTCGTCATCTGAGATCCGGACTCTGTTGAACAACCACCCCCCGGCACAACCACGTTCCCCAGGGTTCGTTCGCAGACGCAGAGGACCCTGCTACCCAGTATATTGATCGGAGCAACTTGAGGCCAAGCTCCTGCAGCACGCTCCTGGTACTATGGAGGAGGGCCCCTTACATAGTATAGATGACCTTGTATGTACAAGTCCCTAGCCTGTACTTACTTACTGGACAGGACTGTAGGGGCCGAACATGGAAAACACCCTACCAGCCAATCAATCGCGCCCACCATCTCTTCCCTTTTCCAACACAGACACACACACACACACAAAGGTCTCTCTGGTACCGTGGGTGGATAGCGGCCGCCGCTGACGCTAGGCTGGATGTCATTGTCATCGCATCAGGCTGTCTGCTGTGTCGAGCCTTTGGACAAGCATGCATCCCAAACAGCGACAGTGCGAAAGGCGTCTGTCTGGGGCCACGGAGCGATGACGCTTGGAAGCCATGGTTTGCTGTGAGCGAGCCCTTTCACACCCATCCCGCAAATCACTTGGCCCAAGCGGGCCCACCAACAGCAACCTGGTGGCTTGGCCTCTCCCAGGTGATCTTGTGCCTGTTTGGAAGGAGCAGTAATGAACCCTGTATAATCCTTTGGTGACTTTCTGGCATCCCAACGAGTCCAACCCAGAGTCGTAGTAGCGCAGGCCTGCCTCGCCACTTTTCATCATCCACTCACTTGGACCAGGAGCGCATTTTTTTTGGATTTCTATATTCGGTCCCTACTTCTTTTCGTCTTTTGTACAGGCATTGCTTTTGGCGTCTTGTCACTTTGCTCATGGAGATGCGTCCCCGCTAACGTATGGAACCACTAGCTGAGAGAGAGAGCTGTCGCCGCCGAGAGCATTGAGCACTACTTCACCACACTTTCACTATTGGACAGCCTGTCTGCATATCCGACCTTCCTTGGCCTTACCGTTTGGTGTCCACACGCCGCATTGATCAGCCCCAACACCTATGGCATGCTTGGTCCACAACGCCATCCACCACCTGCCTGCCTCTCTCCGTAGACACGCTCTGGTAGTGCCGGCTCCAACGTTTTGAAGTCAACCTGGGTGACGGTCTAGGTATGTAGGTCCGTCCTCACTGTGGCACACGGTGGGGCCTTCCCGAACTTTAAACATCCGATGCTCATATCCCTAGGATCCTTCCATGCACTGCTTGGTTTCGTGCGTTGATATACCTGGTATTGCGACACCATCGCGCCTCACATGGCAGTGGGAACAGATCGCCGTGCGAAGAAGACGGCAGCTAGAATAGAGCACGCCTTACTATCGCAGCCCATGAACACAGCAATGCCCTTCAACCCTCCCAACTACAATCCTGGAGTCGGTGTCCTCGTCGCCGAGTCCACATCGACTGCAAGCCCGTCGAATCCCCTCGAATCCATTCAGAGTACCTTGACAAGCCAGGAGCCTATGACCCAAGATCTTCTACACTCCAGTAATAAAAGACGTCCTTCAAAAAGCAAAGTGCCTTCGGAACTCCGACGGTCCTCATCAACACCACACATGCGCCAATTAGCTTTGGGAGCTCCAGGCGAGCTATCGCCACCAAACAATAAACCTCGTAACAAGCTGGGTTACCATAGAACTTCTGTTGCATGCGGTAAGCAGTTTTGGCCGGCCTTTTCACCAGGCATTGGATCACACAGCTAATTGGGATTTCAGGACATTGTCGAAGAAGGAAAATTCGATGTCTGCTTGCCCCTGATGATCCAAACGGGCGCTGTGCTAATTGCATACGCCTGAAAAAAGAATGCAACTTCTTTCCCGTTGAGCACAATCCCGACATGTCACAGTCTCAAACAGGTGGTTCAAAAGATGGCAGTACGGGACAACCGGCGACACCGACGAATTCCTCACCACGACATCCTTCTTCCATCCCTGGCGAAAGAGTGGGTGAATTTCGCGCACCATATCCAGGGCCACCGTCTACTGTGCCACCTCTTGGATTTGGCTTCCAGGATGACTCTGAGATAGACCCTCGTCACACTCCTGGGCAACGAGGCAGTGAGTTCAGCCAGATTTATGCCCAAGCGATGTGCTAACCATGCTAGTGCCCGTACAACACCCGTCTTATCCATATCCTCACCCTATAGATACACAATGGCCACCTACAAATAGTTTCCTACCATCATCCACTGTCAACGAGAGCCCACAGTCTAACCCAAGCTATTGGAGACAATCACCTTCAACCACCAACTCTGTTTATGGCAGTGAGTCCAACGTCTCAGGCGGGCACACACCAGCCGCCATGAGCACCAGTTCGAGCATGTCATATGGCCAACAAGATGGACAATGGGGTCAACAGCCACCTTTCCAGCCTCCAGCGCGCTCAATGTCTTATGGAAATATTGAAGGCCTACAGCAGCAGTACCAAGGTCAAGGGTTGGGAATACAGCACGACTATCCACGCCGGACCTCTCCCTACCAATATCCTACCAGTATAGATACGAATTCAGCAACAGTGCATGCTACTACAATGGGGGGTGCGACAACTGCCCCTAATTCAGCGCCGATTGTACCAAACAACTCATACTACCCCCCATCCTGGAATTCGTACGACCCAGTACCCGGTCACGGCCCCCCAATGCCCATGCCCGGACGATCGATGAGTGCACAGTGGTACGCAGAGGCTGCGCATTTGGATCGAGTACAAGAGGAGGGTGTGTCACCGATGACCTATACTCATAGTGGAATACCGCAGTTCTACTCCGGCGCTTAGGTGTGATCATGGCGATGGCCAGACGCTGTATCAAGGACGACAAGATCAGCCAAGGACAGCTTGATTACATCATTGCAATGTGCCTCGATCACAGGGTTCGTTATGGAAAAGAAATGTGCATTCGAGGACGAAAAAGGGAACATTGGATATTACTTTCGGCGCAAATTTCATCACAAGACTTTTTTCAAGGGAGTTTCAGGTATCAGCATTCTGGATCGTTTTGCCAGCTGATTGCCGATAGAGCAATACTCGTTAGTTGTGTACGGGGGTCACGAATATGCGCCCTTCCGGTTTCTTCACATCAAGTCATGGAGCATTACTTTTCATGGCTAGGGACAGCGATCTTCTATACTGTTTCAGATTATTTTTCTCCGGTGTGTCATCAGACCAGTTTAGGAGTGATTTCAGCGCAAGGTCCGCGGAACGTTCATATATATCTCGCATTTGTATAATTACTATTACTTCAAAATTGCTTCCTGCTAGAGGAAAGAGGCTTTGTGATCGGGACCAGGGCAGTGGTACAGGGGATGACGTCGAAGCGGAGTGTTCTATAGCATTGGGCACTGCCGGAACCGCCCTGTGCACTGGACGAACAGGCGGCAATCTACAGAATCAATATGTAAAATCACCGCGCAGACAGAAAGTCGACAATTTCGGTCATCCTAGATCCATAGGGCACCGAATCTCTTCGCCGAGATGAGCCATTCAAATGGTCAAACACTGGGGATCTGGGGTCTCCCAAAGGCCAAGGCACAGCACTTTACAGAGCATGGCAGCTGGGGTACTGCAAGTTCTCGCTTCTCCCTGTAGGCCAGGATGATGCAGAAATGAAACACTGCGTCAATACATCCACCTGGGCTTCCGCCAGCAGCCGGAGTAACTCCACAAAGCATCTCTCAAGAATGATCTCATATTGGGAACTGCATAGACGTGCGCACGGAGCTAATACCGCATTCATCATTGCACACGTTCGCTTGGCGACAGGTGTTTGCCTGAGGCACTGATCTCCTGAGCATCTTGGCCCACCTGGCAGTCGTTAGGTACGGGTACCACCAAGGTACCGCGCAAAGTTATGCAATGCAAGTGACGACTACAAACCGACTTCCAACGAACAAACATGTGCACTGATGACTCTGCTGGATGCCGAACACGAACATTACACACAGGGAAATCGCTCCTTGCGATCTATTTTCGTGCCTGGAGGTATACAAAACCTGGTTGAGGGTACACTTGGTGCGTCTTTACCTCGGCTTAGCACCTTAGCACCCCTTCCTTCACCCCCCCCCCTGCGAACACTGCGCGCCTCGCAATTTTAATCGGTCATCAGCAAACATTCCTCGCTGTTTGAAACTACTGCGTAACCGACGATGATATCCTAGCAACAGACTGTGTCCTTGGATGAATGAAGACTACCAAAGTGCGCAATCCAGACTCTAGAAGACCTCGGAGCGCCGAAAGCCGGGTAGTGGACACGAGGTGTCCCACTTTCTCTCCAACGGGCTTCACAACACGCCGGACGAGTGCTTGATCCATTGCCATCGTCCTCGGTCAACTCTACACGGTGTTCAAAGGTCTTGACTTGCAACAAACGTGAACGACGTAATTTCTCTAGCTTGCTCAGATATTAACCCGGTGCGACATCCCCGCTACCATGCAGCCGGGAATGCAAACCCCGTTGACGATGTGTCGGAAGAGGTAAGATTCATTCCGAGCAAGGCCCGCGGTCAGAGATGGTCAGTGACAACTGTTTGATCGCTCACATGAATCATGGAGCCTTTGGGGATCATCGATTTCGTCGTCGGCAAATTTCCATTGGCCTGGGAGCCTCGTACGGCCAAACTAATTCCGCGCAGGACAGTGAGGAGAAACAGTATGTGCTAGAAGACTGTTTCGCTTGCTGCTATTACTCTTTGATCCCAGAAGCATCGGTCCTTGAAGGATTTCAGCTTGGGCGATTATGAAAGCGAATCTTTTCCAGGGGTCTACGTGGAGAACGTGCATCACTTCACTACCACTAGTTCTCACAAAGCGGACAAGGTGGATACGCTGGCTGCATCGAGCATAGCCATCTCGATAGCTCGTACATGGCACTGTGTAGAGTCTGGCATAGAGTGAGCATGGGATCCATTGCAACCAGAGTATGACTCGTCCAATTGGCTACCATTCATCTCGACTGACACTACTACTACACTGTCAATCCTGAAAACGATTCATGATATGTTGCAGTAGCATAGTACTACAGGACTACCTACCTATATCTTCTACGCAACGCAATCATGCAGCCCTATGCGCGAATGATGTGCACACTACATTGCACTTACATCTACGCGTTACATCATATAGTGACACAAACCTGTCCACTTGGATTCTCCTCGAAGGATTGTTGGAGTTGTGGGTGGCCAATCGCAAAATTTCGACATTCATGTCTCTCATGCCTTTTCGGGTTAGACTGGGAATGTCTTTGCATCTTCGCCTTCACCAGCAGCATCCATCCTTACACCATCGGTCCAGCATCCACATTACCACGGACAACTCCGAACACCCGCTCTATTGGATGTCAAACCAATTTACCTGGACTTTGCCAGCTGGCCCACTCCTAGTTTCGGGGTCCGCTCCGTCACACCAAGGCATCAATTTTTCTGTAGGTAGTTGCTCCTGGGTCTTTCCTACGGAGTACTCTGTAGGTACAACAGCACGTGAAAGATGACAGCTCAACAATTTCCAATAATGTAAACCATCAGCCGAGCTTCCAGACGTCGTCACTCACGGAAACCTTGATCTAGTTTGACAATGATCGACACTATCCCTTCTCCATGCCCCCTCCATGCTTCCAAGTTCGACCTGTCACCCAGCGCAGCGTGGCGTCCCGGTCCGCTTCAACCTCGAGCCGGTGGAAGGTGTGCCGTGTTTCTAGATGATTGAGGCCTGCCCATTGGGGGCATTACCACATGTCACCCTTGCAGGCCACGACTGTAATTCTTCGCAATAACCAGAGGTGCAACGATGGGCATACCAACACAAGCAATATTATCAGAGCAGGGGTCAACCATCATGTGTAACTTATCATCGAACGATACATGCGGCCAAGGCCACGCACGACACAGTATCCGGCTCAGCCTTCATTATACCCGATCTGATTTGCCGTACTGCGCCGCAATCATTCTCACCACCGGATGCCACATACATGGTACAGGCAACCACAGCTTGAGACTCTCCAACATCCTTAGGTCCGGCCCGAATGACTGCGCCGCAACTGTACATCTGCAGCAAAGATTGCAGTCGTAGAGTACTCCAACGTGTCTGTCAGCACTGTCGTGCTTCTGTTACGGTGCAGATACATGATGCACCCCTCCACATTCGGACGTCAAACGCGTAGCATGCACTGTCGATACTTGGCATCACGATCACTCGCATATGACATGCGTCTTTCTGCAGGGCAGCATCCTTCAGCGTATTACGCTGAGCGTATACTCAGAGCATAAATGTCTCTCTAGTAGCGCTTAACCATCCTTTCCAGAGCATCTCTGGTGGACCGACAGAGCATGAAACCTCCGCGGTAAGCGGGATTTGCGCACCGCTATCACGAGATACCTAGGATCACAGTGTAGCGTTGAACAGGATCCGCATGGCCTTGCACGCCGAATGTGCTCCAGCATCAGGCACTCGGAGCATGGGCGTACGGTCCGACATATCTCTTGGCCGGACAGTGTTTCCTCCCCACCATGGGCAAGTCTCGTGACGAATAGATCAACTACCTCACAAACTCGCACGATTCCCACATGTACATGGAAGACCTGTAAATCTTCTGAGAGGACTGAGTCACTTTCAGGTAAGATCTCACAGTCGGAACGGTTAATTATCAAACAAGTCTCCTCACAGCGTTTTGCATTAATGATTCCACGTAGTGGGATGTACATAGTAAGAAGACCTTGACCCTGTATCCCATCAGGCCGCCATGCATACACCGAACATCAGGGGTCTCTGTGGCGTAGCCGGAAAACTTATCAAGTCAAGGTGACGAAGCATAGATAAGCCAGCATAGCTAGGCCAGCTTACGTATGCACATGTAAACGACCGCATCCACTGCCCTTCAAATCACCAGGGTTCACTGGTTTTGCTGCATGCATGCTGGGAAGCAAAAAAATCCACGGTGTTGGATGCCTCACATTGCGTTTCCTGGCGCATTGCGTGGCAGTCACTTGACTTGGGGGCATGGGCTGGTGGAGGGGCTGCATGGTGGGGGGTGGAGAGGAGGTTGGATTAGCGCCGCTGTTGCATGTCGGCATGTCCAGCAGGTGTGTGTGGCTCGTCGTGGTAATAACCACGCATGTGTGGATTTAAAGAGGGTGCAGGCAAATGTCGTTGTCTGACTGCACTTGGAGCTAGGGGGGAGAGTTTAGGCTGGATGCTAGCATCTTGGGGTTGAATAAGATGTGAGTAAGATGCGTGGTGCTGTAAGTCGTCAGGCTTACACACTCAAAATGGTGACGTAGTGGATCGTTAGATAGGTATGATGATCATATGAATTCAGAGGTTATAGTAGGTTTGTAGTGAAACACGCCAGTTACAATGGTCGAGTACTTGATGTTTGATACCTCACACTCAGACTAAAACTCATGCCCTGTATTAGAAAAACAACATTTAGTAAAAACCGAGAAATCCAAGTCTAACACAGCGCTCTACAACCATTCGCACATGTGCGTAGACTAGATTTCCCAACGCAAAAGAAAGAAAAATTCTGCACTCCTACCAAGAGTTCAAGAACTGTTCGCATCTGTATTCAAACCTAGTATATTACCAAACCCACCCTTCTCGCCCCAAAAAGCAAGTGCTCGGCAACAGCCCTAGTTACCTCCCAGCCGATCCCCAACAAAAATTTCCACTCCACTAGCGTTAATGTAAAATAACATTCCCCCATACCACAATCCGCACGCCAAACACCCAACTACATATACCAAGTTTTCTCCCAATCCTCCATCAAGACAACAATCAGCCTGGTTAGCTCAATCGGTAGAGCGTGAGACTCTTATGAGTCGGCGTTCCCCTAGAACGATTGATCCATCCAAAATCTCAAGGTTGCGGGTTCGGTTAGTAATCCCTCTGGTACCACGGTTCGAATCACGCTTCTAACAGTTTCCCAGACCCCCGCATCGGGCTTAGTTTCTTTTTTTTGCAATTTTTTTGGCAGCTTTCTGTGTACTTTTTATGTCCTATATACAATACATTTATACATGCACATGTGCACTTCTCTGCTGCAAAAGTCTATATTGAGGAATCTAGGTAGAGTCAGGGAAATAAATAATCGTAATATAATTAAATTTCATCAACCCATCTCCCAGCCGCCATGCCCCCCGTACAAAGAAACGGAAGTGCGCTATTCTATTCAGCAGTGAAGCAGCAACAAGACCCAACGAACGGCCAGTTTGGTACGTAGTTGGGAGGAGGAAGGGAGGGGGAGATGATGCTGATTATCCACATTCTACATTCTGCTGATGCCTGTTAGTTATAATGTACCATGCGTACTATCCATACCACACCCATGACCTACACCACTCCACCCGAAACCCTCTCCCACGGCACTACCGCCACATCACATCATCATGTTATATCATATTCCATCCACCAAAACAACACATTCCATTCAGACCTGATAATCTGCATTTCGCAAGCCCACTCAACCACCACCATCATCCTCATCATCCTAATTCACCCACCCACCTACTCACTCCCCTTACTCATACATCATCCTCTATCCGAAATGTCAACATGAGCGCCCTATCCCCACCACCTTTGCCCACCACCTCCCCAGCCCCATCCCTAGATATGCTTACTGCCAAACGCCAGAATTTTTCCGCGCTCAACGCCCCGATATCAACATGTCCAATAGCCCTCCCCACCCAAAGAAAAGAAAAGTAAACACCCCAGCCCACCACCACGGCCAATCTAATCACTCCTCAACATGCTCTCCACCAAATCGCCCAACGGCCCCCAAAAGTCCTTGCTGCCATTCGCCAAACCATGCTCATCAATGAACAAGACATAGTGTTTGAAACTCGTATTCAGGTGAGGCTCGAGGCCCAACTCGATGATGACGGGGTAGTGGTGGCAGTAAATATGGGCGTAGACGCGGTACAGGCGCTTGAACATGTTGCGAATGAGGGCGGCAAACGTCTTGGGAAAGGGAACGCCGATGCGCGAGGGAAACATGGACTCGTTGTCGACATTGGCCTGCACCCATGCCATGAGGTGTTCAATGTATTCTGGCGCCGGCATCTTGGTTGGTTTCTTGAACGCTTCCGAGTCTTGCCAGAGGTATTCGAATCTAGAATGGGTGTGAGTCGGGGATGTATCAAGCATGGAATCGTGACCTACTCGTCTGTTGCTTTCATCTCTGGACAGCTCTGTGGTGAGCAGAACTCGGTAATGGAGCCGTAGAGGAGGTTGATTTGGTTGTAAAAGTCGACGACTAATCACCACATATCAGCATGTTTCCAATGAACGCCATATTTTAACCCTACCATTGACAGCCAACCACTCATCCTTGTCTTCGCCCTCGGGCAGTTTGACCGCCTTCCTCAAGCTCCCGCTACCCAGTGTCGCCTCTGCATACTGCTTGAGCTGCCAACTACTCGTGCCTCGATTCGCTTTCTGCGGCTTGAACGGCGCACGCGTTCGTGGGTTACTAAAAAGAGAAGAGAGTAAGCCTGGGCCCGAGAAATAGCCTTTGTTGCGTTGTGCTAGAGCTGCCGCCCTAGTTTCCGGGCTGATGATGCTGCCCGTGTCTACCGAGCAGCGGTCGTCTTCTGTGGGACCCAGAGCCGCATGATTCTCCGTCTGGAAGAGTGTGGGAGACGATATGCCGCCGGGAAGGAGCTTGTAGGAGTAGTTTGGCGGCTGACGTGTTGGACTACTCGAAGTAGACGACATGTCCGCCTCCAACAGTGCCGTCGGAGGCAGCGCGACAGCCGACGTATCCAGCGCCAACTGCGGCAACCTGAGCGCCTGTCCAATCTTCTGCAGCGGACTCTGATACGTCTCCTTGGGTTTGGCAAGCTCCAATCCAGATCCAGGCACCGTGGACCCCAAATCTCCTGCCATGCCCCTCTCTTGACAGTCCAGGAGTTCCATGTCGATTCGCAGGTTCATGCAGCTCTGGCTCTGGGCAAAAGTGAAGACGGGGTGGAGTGGCTTTGGCTTCGCGGGGAACGAGGGGGAAAAACTGGAGGGGGGAGACACGAACATTGTGGTTATGAAGCCAGACATGGCTGCTGCGTGACCGATGCCCTGGGTCTTATCAAGTGTGCCGTCCGGCGCAGAAACTAGAGCACATTCCAATGGTTAGCAGGGCAATGATGCGGGGGTTGTGGAATGTACAAACTTTATGTATAGGGCTCGGATATACGAGTAAGTGAAAGTAAAGAGCGACTTCGAAAAGGGTTGTTTGTGGCAGAGCACGAGTGAGTGACGAGCCGTTGTGTATGGGACGTCGGTGACGTTGTGTTATTCGAGCGCGGGAGACGGTGTTTGGGCCCCACCACATCATCAACAAGCGCGACCAACGTCTCAACCTTGGAGACTTAGGGCTGCCAGCTGCGACCGCGCTAACACGTGACACCCGAAAGGAAATAGAGTGTTCTGAGATGGTCACGCAATTGCGCTGCAGTCTGCATGTCCACGTTGAATTCATAGGATTGCCGTCTACTCAAAGGTCTATTTCTAGGTATCTACAGTAGGTGCATGACTCCATCTCTCGCAAATCGCTCCTGACTTCAAGGTGATCAGTGCAGGCTTGCTGCAACCATGCCAAATCGCGTCTATCCCCACGTCTACCTGCTAAAATAAGGATCCTGCTCAAAGTAGTCGCGACGCTCGCGATGACCGTTGCGGCGGCTGTGCGAGGGCTTCCCGTCTGACGCGCCATCCGTGGTAGTCTCAAACTCATCCGGCTCGTAGTCTTGCATACCCGTCTTGATGCGTTGCAGCTGACCGCTGACATAGTGATTCAGGCGTGCCTCCATCGCTGCTCGCTGCTCCATTTGCTCAGCGTCTGCAACACCAACAGAGTTCTTGCGCCTGGCAGGGCTAGTGACATCGTCCTCGTCCCCATTGGTAGACCCGCCCCAATCGCTTCGGTGGCCGATACTACGGCTGGTTGAAGAACGGCGGAGGTGATGGGGCTTCTTTGGCTTGCCTGACGTGGCAAAAACATCGTCAAAGTAGTGATCTGCAGCCCCAGTTGGTGTGCGAGGGGTCTGAGGAAGGCGGCAGGTCATGCTAGGCAAAGTTAATCAACAAACTTCAAGACCAATGTGGACAACAACTTACCCAGTGTCATGAATCATCTTTGCAATTAGACCTGTCCAGCCACACTGATGGGTGGCTCCTAGACCACGTCCAGTGTCGCCGTCAAAGAACTCGTGGTACCACATGTAATCCTTCCAATTTGGATCGAAATCCAGCATCTGATTGCCATCGTTGATGGCCCTTCTACCGTCATCTCCACGAGCAAACAAATGCTGGAGACGATGTTGGAGCTCTTCGGCTACGTGACCGAGATGCATAAAATCGCCCGAGTTTGTGGGGCATTCGACCTTCAGGTCGTTGCCATAGTAGAGGTGGAACCGCTGGCAAGACTCAATGAGCAGAAAGTTGACAGCCAGCCAGATAGGACCTCGCCAGTTGCTGTTGCCGCCAAAGAGACCACTGTCTGAGTCGCCAGGTAGATAGGCGACCTCGTACTTTTGACCGTTTACGTCCATGGAGTATGGGTGGTCCTTGTGATATTTCGACAATGATCGGATACCGTGGTCAGCCAAAAACTCATCTTCATCCAGCATCTTGGTCATGATTCGCTTCAGCCGATCCTCGTTGACGAGCGACAAGAGCAGACGGTCTCCCTGGCCACGCTTTGAGATGGAGGCAATGTTGCGCTCAGCTGTTTCTTTACGGTTCTTGATGAACCACTCGACACGCTTCTTGAATGCGGGAAGACGGTTGATTATTTCAGGCTCCAAAGTCAGCGTCGAGTACAGAGGGATGAGACCGACCAGCGATCTAACAGGCATCTGATGACTCCATGGGCCACCCCATGAGATAGCATCGTAGTAGAAACCGTCTTCCTCGTTCCAGAGAGGTTTCGATTCGCCTTCACTCCGGTACTGCATGGCATCGCTGATCATGAGGAAGTGCTCGAAGAACTTTGAGGCCATGTCTTCGTAGATGCGACGACGCTTGGCAAGCTCCAGACATATGTTCAGCATGTTCAGGCAATAGAAACCCATCCAGCCCGTACTGTCGGCCTGCTCGAGGACGCCTCCAGTAGGCAAGGGATCAGACCGATTGAAAACACCAATATTGTCAAGGCCAAGGAAGCCACCCTCAAAGATGTTCTTTCCGTCGGCATCCTTGCGGTTCACCCACCAGGTGAAGTTCAACAACAGTTTTTGAAAGACACGCTCGAGGCAATCAAAGTCCTCGCGCCCGTACATTTTGCGCTCAATCTTGAACACTCTGAAAAGCGACCAAGCATGGACTGGGGGATTGACATCACCAAAGTTCCACTCGTATGCCGGGAGTTGACCATTGGGATGCATGTACCATTCGCGCGTGAACAAATCAAGTTGTTTCTTTGAAAAGTCGGGATCGATCATGGCGAGAGTGATACAATGAAAGGCGCTGTCCCATGCTGCGAAGAAGGGATACTCCCAGGAGTCGGGCATAGACAGAATATCATCCAGATACATGTGCTTCCATTCCTTGTTCCTGATTGCCTTGCGGCCGGGGGGTGGAGGAGGCATGCCAGGATCTCCGTTGGCCCACTGGTCCCAGACGAAGTGGTAGTATTGTTTACACCACATCATGCCGGAGAAAGCTTGACGCTGAATGTTTCGCAGATCATCCGCCATTGGAAGGGGGCTGATGCGGTGGTAGAACTCGTCAGCTTCAGCCCGACGCTGCTCAACAATGTCATCAAAAAGCTCTTCGTCAAGGAAACCGTCGTTTCTTCGAGACAGCCTGAAACGAACCACGGCGCACTCGCCGGGTGGAACGCCCTCATCTTCATCAAATGCATACCAGGCTGCGCACTTGGTACCCGTGTTGTTGGGATTGACGGCGTCCCTTTGGTCGTCGACAATACGGCGGTGAATGCCGTCCTTGACGTACGGCGTCTTGTTTTTGACACCCCACAGTTCCTTGTAATTGGTGTCGTTGTCGGTAAATAGCAATTCAGGGAGGACATCGTCACCGCTCGAGCCAGCACCAGGCGAAGGCGAGAGCTGGAAGTATCGGTCTCCAAGCTTGTAGTGTTTCGACTGTGCCGTGGCTGGGCCAATCTTCGATATGGAAGGCTTCAACTCGGCCTCCTCACGGCCCCAGGCCCAAGTATTCCGAAACCAAACATGAGGTACAATATGGAGAGGTGCGGGCTCGGGACCGCGATTGTATGCTGTGACTCGGAAAAGAAGCTCATCAGGGTCGTCCGCCTCCTTTGCAGTCTCAATGAAGATATCCCAGTATCGGTCGTCGTCAAAGATGCCTGTATCGATCAAATTGTACTCCTTGTCGAGTCTTGTTCGTTTCGCGTTGGTCTCGATGAGGTCTTGGTAAGGAAATTGACGCTGAGGAAGTTTGTAGAGAAACTTCATGTACGAGTGCTGTGTCGAAAGTTAGCCGTGTAAGGGGCCTGTGACGACGAGGCATACAGTTGGTGTGTTGTCCAAGTGGAAATGGCACTCCTTGAGCGACTCGCCGTGGTTACCCTGTGGGTTGGACAAGCCAAATAGTCGCTCCTTCAGGAAGTCACTACGAGTTTGTCAGCACCTCTTATAGCAGCTCGGGCGGTATTGGCTCCTACTCCTTCTCGTTCCAAAAAGCAAAGGCAATATTCTGGAAGCCATGCGAGTCGGACACACCGGCAATACCGTCTTCTCCCCATCGAAAAGCGCGCGATCGAGCCATGTCGTGGGTGAAGTCTGCGATGATGTCAGCAATTCCTCACAGCCTCCATTGAGGGTGCTACGTACGACTCCAGGCATCTCCATCAGCACTGAATGAAGTTTGTTAGCCGTGTCTCCTCTCTGAAGCGATCAGTCAACCTACGAATAATCTTCTCGAACTGTGTATGTATTAGCATGACTCCAGAGTGCCGTTGGAGTGGAATCTGACCTGTGGCCCACTGCCTCTCAGCAACATAGGGTCCCCATCGCTTCCAGTAAGCAGTGCGCTCACGGTCCTGCTTGAGGCGCTTCTCCTCTTCGCAGAGGTACTCTTGGTTTTCAATGAGAACCATGGCTCGAGTATGTGTTGAGGTGATGTAGGAGAGCAACTATGGACAAGTAATGACTGAGATTTGCTGTGTGTGGACAATTGGAGGAATGTCGATGGTATAGAGCGCAAAGAAGAAAAAAACAAATGCAGTAATCAGACAAGCCAAGAAGGAAGGATAGGAACGAAGTATGTGTGTGAATTCCTAGTTGAGTGTATAACAAAGAGGCCTGAGGGATGCGTGTCGATGGGGAGTTGGAGAAGAGAGGACAGAGTCGTGAAGGCCTGTCGAAGATAAGTAATGGGGAGGAGGGGAGTGCAGCGTAAGACGTTTGGTTGCAGCTCCCGCCATTCTTCCCCATCGCGAGTTCCTGCGCAGTGCATGTCATAGGTCATAGGTAGGCGCGACCGTGCGCTAGTTTAGGTATGGCAAGCAAGCGGCTTCAGCCAGACAACCAACACCTTGCCCATCAAGGCCTAGAGGAAGAGCAATTGCCAGCCATGGATGTTTTCCCGGTTTCGCGAGCCTGCCACTTGAGCCGCATGGCAATGGCTAGACTAACGTAGGGAGGTACAGGACTACCCAGGGAGGATGCAGTGATGCAGTCTTGCCAACTTGTCAGTCGTCCGCTCCAGACTCCATCTACCTACTCTAACCACAATCCCACGATTCTCCCACAGCTGTTGAGCTGCCATAGTCCACAAAATCTCTGCGGTGCTGTCAACTGTTGAGACCACGCTTGCCACCTTTTCAGCGAGGCGATAACGGCCCCACACCTTACTGTATACAGTGTAAGCTGTTGTCGATCTGCCGCGGCTGCCCAGTGGAAAAAACAAAATGCACTTGCACCTGGGGTATGGACTCTAGAGCCTGGAGGGGGGAGGGTGCGGCAGCGGTCCCATGCCAATTCACATGCGCATGGCGAGAAGCATGGGATTTCGGGTTGCTAGGTATCGGTACTACTACACTACATACACTGCAACTTGATGGATGAATTGGAAGTGTGTGTACATTGTAGATGATGTGTTTGAAGTCTGTACCCATTCTTCGATTCTTGTTTAATGATCCTGTCCTTCGTCACTTTAAGCAATGATCATGTCCTTCGTCACTTTAAGCAATGAGCAATCCACATGGTGTCATGATGCTGCAGACACCGCAAATTTCATCTTTGGTGCCGTAGTAAAAAAAAAATCGTCATTCTTCAGGCGGCATGGGGCTCACCTAGAACACGACGACGCAAGCGCGTTGCCTCGCATGGCAACGCAAGAACATTCATGTCGCGTAAACGCCAGCTCACGTGATGATTCGGCAGCCAACCCGACCCGCCCGTACTCTAGGACGCCTCATGACCCAAGAACACAACTCAGTCTTTCAGTCGTAGCCTCGTTTGCTAATTGGATACAAATGTGTTAATCGGTAGGCGGTAGATGTCAATGGTCCAGTACGGTCTGCGGGTACCCTCCCACTCTTTGCTTCCGTGGAGGCCAGCAGGAACCTGGATGTCCTCCCAGGTAGTGTCAAAGCCTGCCTCGTACAAGTCCATCTCTGCCACCTAACCTGCAGTCAGTTTGCATCCCACACTTTTTCTCGCATCAAGACTCACCTTAGTATAGACGTCGTAGCAAATCTGCCTATCCGCACCAAGACCGTTGTACCATCCAAACCTGCCATCCTTTGCAAGCAATTGAATCACATACTCAGCAAAGAACTCCTTGAGCGCCTTGTAGTCCTCGGCAAAGGTATCATAGTAAATTGCGTCGAGAACGACGCCCTGCTCGACCAACTTGGGCAGCACGTCCTGCCATCGCCCTTCGTGGATGTGAACGTTTGGCTTATCGTACCATCCCTGCTCCCGAAGTCTTTGGTGGACTTGAGGATGAGCCTCCACAATGTGGTGCTCAGACGGCTCATGTGTCAAAATGGCTGTGTCCACGATGCCCATGCCGTGACCGACATTCATGGTTCGAAGTCCCTTTTTGGGGATAAGAGTCTCGGCGTGGCGTTGCATGATTTGCGTTTCCCAGTCCATCATGACTGCGTTGTCACTCTCGTCCAGAAGAATACCAGGCTTGTATCGCAATTGACTTTTCAGATAGGCATGGTTGTCCAAAGACACATCGTCGAGCACCTGCTGGTTCTCGGTCTCCTGGATAGGTTTTGCCTCGTCTTCAGAAACTTTTTGCTTCTTGGCTGCTGGTTGCTCCTCGGTGATCTCTTCGTCACCCTCGTCTTCTTCTTCTTCGGCCTCGTTGTCTCCAAGACCCAATGCCTCCATCTTTGCAAACAGAATCTCAGCGCGAACACCCGCTTCGACCATGATGTCGTAGATTTTCTTTTGGCCTAGGCGTAGCGCAACGCAACCTGGAGTTTCATCTTCCTTGTTCAAGTCGTTCCAAATGGCACCATTCTGCAGTAGCAACTCAACAGTCTGAACTGCATCATCACAAACTTCCTTTCCCTCCTCGGCCTTTCCACAGCTAGCAATTGCAGCGTGAAGTGGTGATGTTGCGACTGTCGCGGTCGGGTCTTGAACATTGGCTGAGCCCTCCTTCAATAAGATTTTCAGCGCAGGGACATCGTGACGCTCCGCTGCAGAGATGATGCGCTTGGCTAATAGGATATCTTCTTCTGTTGCTTGGTCCGCCATAATTCGATTGATGTCCGACTGTGTAGACTTTGTGCAGTGCGTGTGTGGAATTTTTGGCCAACTTTTTTCTGCAGGGGTCATGATAAGATAAGCGAGATCTGATCCTTCGTCTCGATTGCCGCTTTGGGTAGCGCTCCAACTCCTGGGTATCTTGCCCCAGTGGCGCGAGACTGGGACTCTGTTTGTGTTTGCGGATGATAGCCAATCGCCAACACATCTGCATCATTGTCACATTTACAACATGTTTACCGTTCTATTTATCGGCCATACCTCTCAACCCTACATGTCGGCAAACTTGAGTTCTTTTGATTTGAGATTTGAGATCTAGGTAGAAATAAACAGACATGCAACTACGAGGCAAGTTCTGGCACTCGAAAGGGAATATAAACGCCAGAGCTCCCCATGTGCAATTGCAAACAGCTAGTAAACAGGTGCAGTAAAAATTACCGTGTCCTAAGTTCAAACGTAGATACTCGAACGTTGGGTTATGTAACAAGGGCAATATGAAAGCAGGTGTGCCCAAATAAAATAAGATTGCGTCCCTTTGTACAATGAGATCATTATGCCACCATCCACCAGGCACCAACGAGGATACCGACCAATACTAACAAGGTCAGGATACTAGCACCAGCCTTGTCGCCTGTAGTGACAGGGTTGGCGCTAGTAGGTGGTGCCTTTGGAGCATCGCTGCCAGCAGTAGGATTACTGACAGATATACCTCCAGCTTGTGCTGTTGCCGGACCGCCTACTGTCGAGTGCAACAGAGACTGAACAATCTCTAGAGCAGCCATCTGCTCACCGACACCGAAACTGCCGTCGTTGCGACCGTTGTCGATCCATCGCAGTCCGCACGAGGTCCCGTCAGGGCCTCCAGTGCATTGCTTGGCAGCAGCCTGAGCCGAAGCCCTTAGAAGAGGATCGATGAATTCCGCGGTCCAGGGCGCAACAATGGCAGTGTATCCCATCCAACGGGAGAGATAGGCCTTGAAGGAACGCTGATCAACATCACACTTGCCGTTATTTTCACACGCCACCTCGGTCATGACATTGTCCTTGAAGAAGACGCTGACGCCATCAATCAGACCCTTGGTTCTTGTGCGCCACAAATCGTTCTGGGTCTTCTACTTGTTAGCACATGCTGTGACTGCCACTACTATATGCCTTTACTTACCACATTCCACATGGCTGCAGCACCGGACATGTGCACGCCGGCATTATAAGTCCATTGGATGCGGTTCAGAGTGGTGCAGTTCAGTTTGTCGTCTGTTCCATCAAAGAAATGGAAATCGGGGCTCATGAGTCCGACGGACAGTTCCCACTCCCAAGCCTTCTCAGCCCACTCTGCGTAGGTTTCGTTTCCGAGATACTTGTAAAGACGCGAGGCAATGTTGAAAAAGCAACCGTTGGAAATGGTGTTCTTGTAGTTGTAACCGTTGTTGAAGGGGAAGATTTGCCACTTCAACCCTCCACCACAGGTCTCAGTGTCCCAACGATCTTTCTGTGTGTTGAAGACAGCTTGGGCAAGGGCGAGCCAGGATGGTTGTCCGTCTGGAAGATCTGGTAGCTTGTTCTCGGTAGCAGACATGGCAGCCATTCCCCAGAAAGCCTGGTCATCGTTTCCGAGTGTCTTTGTCTGATTTGGGGGCATAAAAGCATTGAAGTCTCCGATTTGATGCTGCATGGCCTGAGATGTTATTTCATTGTACTGGTCATCTCCCGTGTAGTACCAATAATCAATGAAGGCATTGAACATGGCACCAGCTTCCCACCAGAAGTATGGATCTGGCAAATTACCAGGTACATCCCCTGGCCTATCACCGGTATAGTAGGATCGCAAGTTGGCTGCAAGCGCTTTGGCAGCACTCTTGATTGAATCTAGTCGTGTCAGCATGCCTTGTCGAAACAGCAATATCAGGGACGCTGACCTGGAGATGTTGGGTCCAAGTCGATGGCAACCGTTCCAGAGAGCAAGACACTTGAGGCAGCAACGACCCCAAGAGCCGATGTGAGCTTCATGATGTATATGATGTTACCAGCATGCACGCACTTGCTCGGGAGAGGAGGGCGCAATGGGTATTTGGCACCAGGCTCAAAGGGGCTTTGGTTGTGTGGAGCGCGAGTGACTCTAGAAGGATGCTGGAGATTTGATGGAAGTATTTGTCTCCAACGACCCTTGTTTGCGCTTCCGACTTGAGAGGAAAATCCCTAAATCGAGCGAGGTGGGCTTTGACTTTGAACGAGTGACGCAATCCGGGGTTGGGAAGGGCTGGACGGAGGCGGTCGATATAGGAAGAACGTGCGAGAGGCGAGAGGAGTGAGTACCTAGCAGGCAGCGATCCGGATCAGCGAGCGTGTTGGGAGGGCTGTCAGAAGGGGGGGGCTGTATAACGGAGGTCAGAGAGAAAGGGTGGTGATGCTGTGATGCTGGGTGGGATCCTGGGGCACTTCAGGAGTTCGGCGGAAGCCAATGGGCAGCAGATCCCCAGGTCGTCAAGACAGTAGGCTCTAGTGTGCCTCTTGGCGGGATGTTAGGGCCCGCTGCAAACGGGGTATTGGGTGCGTGTTGCATAAAGCCTCGACTGTATCGACTAAGCCAGGCACAAGGTCGTGAATCTGTATCCCGGGTGACCCTGTCCAGTTTCTTTCTCTT